AAAAACAGTTTGATTGTTGTCTTACTTTTGGACTGCACTCTATATTATCAGTTAAGTACAAAATGATAAGTTACTTTTACTTTTATTGATGTCAAATATAGCACATTCTTTTATAAAACTCTTATTTAATAACATTTCTCTAATGAACATATCACATCTTACAATCTATATGCAAATTTTCATAAAAACGTAAGATTTTCTATGTGATATTTTTCACGATGTATTTAATATAATATATTTTATAAGCGATAATTGGTGATAAATATATGTGAGCGATGTAGAATACCTGGAAGAATTTATATTCTTACAATAGATTATGTTGATACTAATAAACAAAACGTATATGAACTCATTATTCTAATTGAATAGATAAAACTTATAGGCTATGAAAAAAATATGACATATTTATGATTAAACAACTTAATGTCATTTTATCTTTTCTTTAGTTTTATTTGAAGTATTAAATTGTCAACAGATCTTAGCATCTATAAAAAGAATAAACATCATTTTCAACATAGCTCAGTTAGAAGAAAGTACATTTTAACTTCTAATGGTAATTTGATATTTATGTATGTATAAGAATAAAGTTTTTGATAAAAATCTATAGTACTTTGAAGAGGATGAGATTCATGTCTATCCGCTTTATTTTTATTTCTATTGAATATTGCAGTTGACGTTTAGTTATTCAAAGCATCAAACATTCCCAATAGAATTTTGACTCATTGACAAGAAAGACAAAGAATAAATGCTTTCGCTCCATAAGTAGCTTTATTTAGTTGTTAAACAGTAACGATCTTTGATTCATTGATTTTTCATAGAATCTTATAAACTAACAAATGCGAGAATTGTATCATACCTAAAAATATTTAAGTAGACAAAAACTTCTTTTACGAAGACGGTATGTGAAGATATTTTTTTATCGGACGACTAAATAAAGGTATCTATGAAATGAGCTAAGGAAGCTTTTCATCGGCTTTCTTGCTGATAATTTAGAGTACTTCATCAAAGTGAATAAGTGCAATTTTAAAGAATACAGAAAGGACTTTTTTAATCATGTAAAAAAATATTTAAAATAAATTATATTCTTTTCAGATGATATAATCTAGATCAAAGACAAAATCTAATCATCTTTTCAACAGCAAAAGATTAAAATGGCTTCATCATTTATTGCATCACTTGATCTTGCTAAAAAGGAAATAGTTATTTATTGTGTTATTCCCATGTTTATCATGAGTATTATTGGTGGATGTCTTAATCTTATTACTTTTCTCAGTCTGAAAACATTTCGACAAAGTTCATGTGCATTTTATTTAACAATTAAATCAGCTTATGACGTTAGTATAACCATCGGAAACATATTGCCTTATATCATGCGTTGGGGATTTGGAATGGATTGGGGACTACCATCATTGTTCTTCTGTAAAATAAGAAATAGCATGTCTACTGTATTTTCATCAGGTTCAATGACATGTTTATGTTTAGCTGTTATTGATCAATATTTTGCTACTTCTTCTCGTGTTCATTGGCAAAAATGGTGTAATATTAAACTAGCTCATCGTCTTACTGCAATATTTACCATCATTTGGATTTTACAGGGAATTCCATATGTTGTATTTTATAATCATATTATTTCATCTTCAACAAATACAACTGGATGTGAAATCACAAATGAAAGGTTTAGTGAGTATCTAATTTATGGTTATTATTTTATTATTTCAAATTTGTTACCATTCATATCAATTATATTTGGATTCATGGCTTATCATAATGCGCGACATCTAAGTCGCCGAGCAGTTCCTTTTATTCGACGTGAATTAGACAAACAATTAACAGTAATGGTTCTTGTTCAAGTTCTCATTAATTCCTGTGCTGTATTACCATTCGGCATCACCTATATGGTCAAAAAAATTACTGGAATACAGAGTGATCCTGTATTTCAAGCTAAAACTAGTTTCGCAACGTCTATCACTAATATTTTTTCCATTTTGAGTTATTCGGTAAGAATTTTATCGATAATTGTCCATTCCATGACATATTAATATTCTTTAACTTTTGTTTTTTCTATATAATTTTAGAGTCCATTTTATACATATATTTGTGTATCAGAACGATTTCGTCAACAACTAAAGTATGTTTTGTTCGAAAAGCATATCAAACGATATTGGCAGAAAAGAATAATTCATAATCAAATAGCAATAGAAATCACCACAAATGTTTGATCACGAATCTCGCCTGCTATTTTCTCAATAAATATATTATTTAATGTTATAAAGTATTTTATAAATGCAAACATTATTATCAATTTACTCAAATATTATTGCTTTCATCTTTACGATTTGTATTTAAATAAATATTTAAAAAATATCATCATTTATATAATAATATTGTCTTTTCTGAATCAAATCAAATCATTCCATAAGATGTGGGATTATAGATGTTATAGTCGATTTCTACTAGTTATCCTATATATATTAGTAAGAATAAGTAAAAGATGTAATAGATATTCATTTTTGAAACATGCAGCTAAACTACAAAATTAACTCGACCAAAGGATAATCAACAATTAGTAAATTATAGATTGAGTAGCATAAGAAGATTTAGTGGTTTCTTTTCTGTGATAATTTCCAAGATTTGTAAAAACAATATTCTCTAAAATTACCATTCTTATACAAGGGGGTATGAATATGTATTCATCTTTTATTTACCCACATTCACACCCACACCCGCAACTTACTTTAAAATATTTTACTGTGTTCAAGATTCTTCTAAAATAATTGAGAAATAGACAGTAATTATGGTTAGAAATGTATTTAGTTTGATTTTATGGCTTCTTACAATAATTATTTTACAGAATAGATAAATGATTATAAAAGTAACATTGATTATCTCTACATTGTTTCTTCATATGAGAAAGAAATCGATCTTGGTCTACTGGATATGATTATAGTCAAGAGAGAGAGAGAGAACTATAACCATGATTTTAATTACAATCATAATTATATAAAATATGTGGATCCTTTGCATAATTATATTTGTCTCTCAATACTCTCTACACTATGAAAAGTTATTTGTATTCTTTCAATCATTCTTTCTCACTGGAGAAACAAAACTTCAAATTTATTTCTTATTTTGTGGTTGAACATGTATGTAGAGAAAGTGAACACAAAGGAAACAGCAGTTATATCAATTGTCAAACTTAGTGCAATGCCATGAAATCCGCTCTTTTTTTGGAATAAATATAAGGATGATAATTTGACAGATAAATGTATTACTCCTAAACTAATGTTAATATTTTCTCATTCTCATCAAGATATTTTATACTTATCCGAATCAATTGTTGAAGTATTTTATCGACAATAATTTGATAACTGATAATATAGTTACAGCTTAACTCTACAGACTTTCAAATAAATGAATGAAAAAGAAGAAAATAGACTCTTTTCTCTCAGGAAACTTTGCAGTTCTTTCAAAAAGTGCTGATTTTCAATGTTTTTGTAGAAATAATTCTATTAGCTGTTGTTAAAACTATATAATTTACTTTCACATGTTATCTCGTGTAGTTTAACATTTACAATAGAAATAAAATTTTATTCAAAATTAATCCGAAGAAAGAAAGTGATCTTGTTGTTTTCATCGATATATGATGATTTGCCATAAATATTTTACATGAAAATAAAGTGAAAAATATCACTGAAGAATTTCATATATTTTATTCTATAGAAACATTTTTATTTTGTTATTAATCATTTGATGAAAAATGTTCCGAATAATTTCAAAAGTTTTTTCATTATTCTGCTGATATTTGTATAACAGAATATATTTTTCTGCATGTTTCTATTTGTTATTATTCACAAATCATCACTTCTTATTGATTTTTATCTTCAGTTAAATTGAACAAAACCAAATTGTTTCTTTTTAGTTACATTCTCCAATAATTAACTGTCAAAAAGTTTTTTTTGCTCCATTTGCCTGAACAATGAATTCATTTCTTTTTTTAAAACTGATATGGAATATCAGATATTATTTACTCTAAAATATAAAAAAATGTTCATGATATTGAAATTTTGTAGGAAGGAAATGGAAACAAAGTGTTTCAAACAAAATGTAGTGTTATTCTTGTTAATGATACATCGCAAATCGTGCGTTAACGAAGAAAATATAATGCTTCTTGAACAATAAAATAGAACTTTTTTAACAACAATACGTTTTTGTTATTTTGTATTCAGTTGAAAGAGAAGGGGTGTGGATGTGGTTGTCGGTGGGTGGGTGAGTATAGATCAGGATATAGATATGGCGTGAGTATTCATCCATTCATTTATTTATTTATTCCATATACCACACACACTCATTTCCTCGGGAAAGGGGTGCGCGAGTCGACAGATCAGCTTTATTTATAGAAAGTAATTAAATTTTGCGAGGAGACTCTTTTTTCATTAGTTTATTTTATTATAAACATTTTGTTTTAATTATGTAAACTATCACTGCATTTTATAGATTGTTCTATTATGTACTTCAGTTGCATTGTTAAACGACTGTTTGCTGAGATAGTTAGTATATAATAATATTCTTAATGAGATGGCGAATGTTGCTATAGCAGAGAGTTAATTAGAAAGAGAAACATGATTTGAAAATATTAATGATATATTTCTACTAGTTTCACTAACATAATCATTTTCATTTCAATGATATTTGATAACTGTTTCAGAATAGTCAGAACGTATTTTCTTGGAAGAAAGCGTTCAGTGAGTCTTTTTGTAATTTAGATAAATTACTTCCGTGTATAATAAACGATATTTCTGTTGAGTTATTCTTTATCATTTTTTTCTATCATTCTCTTCATCTAACCATTGTTAGTTTAAACATAAAAAATTGTCGCTTGTTTCAACATCATGTTACATTTTCAATCAGTGTTTAGCTCTCCAAAGCTATTGTCCATAGTTACAATTGTCAAATTTATTGTTCTTATCAGTGTGGCATCAGGTAAAAATTTGATATTTTCTTTTTTCTCATTTATAAACTAGTTAACACGACGATCGCTAAATCAAAAATTGCTGACGTCAGTAGATAGAACGCGGCGAGTTAACTTTAAGAAGATACATATTTTGTCATCGATGGATAGCTTGACTTGGATTAAATATAAATTCGGAATATTAAACCTTCATCTTCTAGTTTAAGAAAAATAATGAAAATGTATTTTCTCGATTTTCATCTTTAAAAACTAATTTTTCAGAAAGATGCAGAACTCAGTTACGAAGATGAAAATCAAGGAAATACGTTCTTTCCATTTTTCTTAAACTAGATGCCTAATCCAAGTCGAACTAACCGTTAGTAACAAAATATAGGTCGCTGTGAAATTAACTCGTCGCGATCTATCTACAGAGGTTAGAGTTTATAACAGAGTGATCTTCGTGGTTTTCATCTGTTTTACTAATATCTTGGTTTGTGTTTCTATTTATTGTTCACTTATTCGTAGACGATATGCGTTCAATGAAGATGTCCATAATGGCTGGTTGGAAGTTTTCATGCGCCAACACAACTTGTACACCTTTCATGACTGCCGGCGCAGCGAATGTTCGTCGATGTCAAATGGCTTGCTTAGCTCAAGACCTATGTCAAGCGGCCAGTTTTCAGCAATCCACTTCTATGTGTCAACTCTTTGTCAACTCACCGAACCAACAGGGCAACTTGGTTGCAAATGCGGGCACTATTACGATGATATCCAAATCTGAAACACGTACTACTACGATGATGTTCCCATCTGAAACATGCATGAATACGACGGGATTCACACTTGCAACGTACATGCCATATAGTAAGTATGAATACAGTATACTTCGAGAACTCAAAAATCGATATAAAGCTCGTTCTCAGGAATCCAAGAATCCATACTGACTTGGCAAAGTGATAAAGATGAACGATAGTGCACACTTCTACATCAGTTCTTTCTTTCTGAGTTGAGCGAAGACTTTCAAGTTTGATTAGATTAAGTGATGAGAAAGTATACAACGGAGAATAAAGACGCATCAAACTTTCTTTTCAGATCAGTTAACAATAAGCTAAAAGACTAGATCCACACCCACATCCACCCCGATTTTTGAAGATTAAGAAGTAACGATATTTATAAAATTACAAATTTCTTATCATTTAGCTACAACAACATCAGCAAATAATGGTTCAAGTCTCTGGTCATTCGATAACAATACGTTGGATAGTCGATCAGATTACAATGGAGTAGGTATTAATTCTCCAACATATAAAACACCTGGAATCAATGGACATGGTTCTGCTTTATCGGTTGATGCGTCAATTGGACAATATGTTAGTGTATCAAAGTATCGAAATTTTACTTACACAAGTTTCACTATTGAAATGTGGTTTTATCTTACTGAGTTAACAAGCTCTGCTTATGGTCTGTTTGGTCAATATTATAACTCAGCTACAGATCAGTCATTACATTGTAAAATCTACAATGATGCTATGTATTTTGGTTTTTGGAGTGATGACCTTCAAGGTTCGACAGCGGTTCAAGCCAACACTTGGTATCATGCTGCTTTCGTTTTCAATTATTTAACCTTGACAAGAAAAATATATTTAAATGGAATACTAGATACAAGCGGAAGCTCATCATATTATCAAGGTGTAAGTGGTTCAATTGTGATTGGGAAAACTGAAGAAAATCCTGGTATCCCTTATTATTTCGCGGGGTAAAATTCAAAATCTTTCTTATAAGCTAATTGATTTCATTCTAGTTACATTGATGAAGTATCTGTAGTAATGCGAGAAAAACAGCCGAATGAAATATTAGACGATGCTACATTGGTCACATGGAATTCGTTTGATAATCTACCATATTCTGATTCAGGTCCATTGAATCTCAATGTGAAAGTCAGTAATCTAACATCAGTCAGTGGACGAGTGAATGAAGCTGTTCGCTTCAGTTCTAACTTATCGTATTATCAGGTCTGATAAAATGATTCTGTTTGATAAAATATGTGTTAGTAATTCATTTAGATGAATGGGTTTGTTCTTCTTGGTATCTCAAATTATTCATATTCGATAGCGCTGTGGACTCGTCCATCATCAACAAGAGGATCAGTTTTGGTTCATCTCTCCACAACAACAGATGGAAATGGCTGGTGTGTTGATCTGATGGGATTCTCTTCATCTGGTCAAATAATTGTCACTGGATGGCATTCTACATCAAATGTCCAAATTGTAGGTCCAATTTTACCTGCTAATGTTTGGACACATGTCGCAACAACTTATTCAACAACAAATGCACTTAGATTATATATTAATGGCACATATTATAATTCATCAAGTGCTTTTAAATATGTGGCTTCTGGTACGGTTAACATATTAACATTGGGTAATCCTCTTCAAGCAGTTCCATTCAATGGTACAGGTGGGTGCAAATCACAATCGATTGTTCCAAATGTTTATGATGGATCTATTGATGAATTTGGTGTTTATTCAAGAGAACTGAGTTCATACGATATTTGTGCGCTTGCCAATCCATAATTCAATCAGTCAATAAAACACTTTTCCTTTTATGCATTCGAAAACTTTGCTTTTCAATTAATAAATATATATCTTGTCGAAATAACTTTTCGTCATATAGATCATTGATTCGTGGATTTAATATGTAAAAGAAAATTATGAGAGTGATTGTGGATGAGGGATGTCTATAATACTGACATCTATTTATCATCGACATCCACACACCCTCTAGATGGTTCATTTCTATGCTCCAAAGAATTTCTATGTGAATGATATGTGTACGAAAAATGACGGAAAAATTCAATTTTAATTTAAAAATTTTTGAATTATTTACTATTTACTTTTTGTGACAACAGAAAGACGTAAATGAATTTTATTTGTATAAAATCTAAAATTCAATGATAAGAATATCTCAACATTTAATTTTTTTAATATTTTCTCAAAAGTTGTCTATCGGTTATCATATTAAAAAAAAGATTAACGATGTGCAATGCAATGAGATAGAAAAATAATAAAAGATGCATAAATATAATTAATATTTTCAGTTTTATATATTTATTTTTTATATATTTGCGTCACGAACTGCAGTTCCGAAGTTCTGCTTCTTTCTTTTTATACATGCATATTTCATAATACATTAAAAAAATACCATTTTAAGTCAATATATCCGTTCAAGATGTCTAATACATAAATTGAACTGAGCAACAAACAAAACAAGAAGATGATTTAACTATGAACACGTACAATATAAAATAATAATGTGAAAAAAATGAAATAATTATTGTAAAGTATGAACATTAGTATTATCAAGAGATTATAAATATCAAAGTTGAAAGTAGCCTGATGACATTGTATTTGCCAGTTCATCGTTGAAGAACAGGTTTTTCTGTATTTCTGCGTGGCAAAATGAATAGAATGTAGCGAGAGAATTGCTAATATAATAACTGATCGTATAGTTTATTACTAGTTTTCTCAGCTGATAAAGAGAGAGTAGATGCAGTAAATGAATGCATTTTAACTTTTATTTCGTAAAATTTAGAACAACTTTAATTTGTGAATTATTCCTTTTTTATTTCTTTCATGTAAAAACAACATGTGACATATAATCATATATTACAGTACGATCAAAAAAAGAAAAGAAATGTTATAATCAGCGATGCATAACAAAATAATCAAATCAATCCTTCAATTGGTATACATTATGATCATCATATAAGCAATTATTTTTGTTTTTTCTTATTGATATTACACTAAACTTTAGAAATATATTATTTAGATTTTTAAATTTATAATGTCAAATATCGGTTCAATTACAACAACTGCCGGTGGTTCCCTTCCAGTAGTAACACAATTATGGGTATACAAATGTCCTACTTGTGATAAAGATATTGTTTCTTATACATATACTCTAAGTACGCGCAATTGGGTTATGAATACGACGGATAATGCAGCAGTTTATGGAAATACAATGATCGAACCTCCTGAAATAAATTGCTCTGAACATAATCAACAAGTTCAACTTCGTTCATTAACTCTTAATTTTTAGTTATAGATCATTTTATTATAAAAGATTCGTAAATCCTCTCAAATATACTCCAATAAAAAGGAAAAAGATAAATACAGTCGCTGAATCAATCGAGAAATAGCGTGCTCTAAAGCATAACGTGTGGTAAAGTATTATAGTAGTTTAGAGTACGCTATTTCCTCCTTGATTATCTTGATTTTGTTCCAAGAATTGGTTAACACGCTGAAGTGCGTTCTCCACCGACACACGGTCTGGATGTCCTGCAGGCACAATTCTTCGATAAATTTTGTTTGCTTGTTCTAAACTTTGCTGAGCATCAAATAATGCTCCTAAATTCAAATGAATTTTTCCTAGTTGGTAAAGAACTCCAGCTGTTAAAGGCGAATATGGTGATAATATACGCTCAAAAATATCAAGTGCACGCGTGCATAAATCCAAGGCACTAGTGTAGTCACTAGTATCTCTGTGAAAATTGCCTAGCAAAGCTAATGTCACACCAACCTCTGGTTCCTGTGGAGGTACGAGAGCTTCTTGTATCGCTAATGCTTGTTCTGCATTTGCAATCGCTTGAGGATATTCTCGACGAGCCCAATGAGCTTTGCTAATACTAAGAAAGTTAGCGGCAATAGTTGCTGGACTTGTTCTCGGATTATTTTGACGTAATTCAAGCGCTTGAGTATAAAAGTTTAGAGCGATATCATATTCACGACGACCACGATGAGCGTTTCCAATATAAACGAGAGTACCAGAGATATCTTCATTAGACTATGTAGAAAATTAAAATTTTGTTTTTTGAATTATATGACATGAGTTATACAGTACCTCTTTTTGTATTTTAAGTGCTTGTTGATGGCATTGCAAAGCATACTCGTAATCACTTTTTTTTACAGCGGATAAGTCGCCTATCCTATTGAGTATACGAGCAGTCATAGGTTGAACACGCTGATAAGTCGACAAAGCCAAATTAATATCTCCTTGTTCCACATATTGTTCTGCTTTTGTTTCTTCAGCAGTTATAAATGAAGGTCTAGAAATATACAAAATCAAACAACATTCGTATCTTATCGAATAGAATCACTTTCATACGTGATATTTATTATCTCAGCTGGTGGTGGAGTGACTGGTTTTGGAGGTGGTGGTGGAGTGGGCGGTTTTGGAGGTGGTGGTGGAGTGGGTGGCTTCGGAGGTGGTGTAGGTGGTCTGAGAAGCTCATCGAGTACTGCTGTTATCGTGTCACTCTTATGATTTTGCATATATTCCAAAGCAAATTTCTTGCCAGCGTCACCTGCTGTTTTTATTTTTATAACCGACATTGGTCCTCGATTAACATAAACGATACGAAATGTCATACAAGGATCAAATACAATAAGCGATGACGTTTGTTTATTCGATATTTCATTGAATAAAGATGATGCATCACAGTCGATTTTAATTAAAACAGACGAAAGATCTGGACGATAGGTTGGTAATGAAGCAAGTGTCAACGCATTTGTTCTTAGTTTCGTACAAGGAAAAAAACCACTTGTACAAACGAGTTCACCAATATGTGCTTCGAATTTGTCAAGTTCTGCATCGGATAATTTCATACCACGATACACTTGATCACTAGATTTCTGTTTAAGATGTTGACGAAAGAAACGTGTTGCATCTACGAATAGAAATCGACATGCATTAAGCTGTACTTTGTTGTGAGAACGTAGCGCATGAAAAAGAAAACGTGCAGGAAAGGGAGAACGAGAACACCAATTGATGACTTCAGCAGGTCGATATGATTTATCGAACTCTTCAATAACGGCCATGATTCGCGAATTATCTCGATAATATTGTCGAGTTATTTCGATTAGTGCATTTTTGTTGGACGATACTTTACGATTTATTAACTAAAAGTATAAATCATTCTGTTAGCAGACAATAGAAATGGGCAAATTAAAAAGTTAGTACCTCTTCTTTCCATAATTGTGACCAGAGAAATATTTTATCTTGTTCAAATGAGAATTCTTCTAGTTGAACTTGCTCGAAAGTATCCAGAACGTCTTTAACTAGTCGGAGTAATTCTTCTTGCTGAGTAAATATGCCAAAAAGTTTAGGAAAATGCCCTCTAACATCACCTGCATTTGGATCCAATATAAAAATCGCTTCGACAGCAGGAAAATCATGAACAGTTGCAATTAATTGATTATTATTCAATGATGAGATAAAAAAGATCTTCTCATTTGAAGATTGTATCATTTCAAAGCAAGATGATGATTCAGTAAACGTTTGTACGTTATTGTTAATGGCACGAAGTGGTCCAACCATATTGACATTCGATTGTTCTTGTGAATTAAACCAAATAAAAATGACACTTTCATAATTATCATTCGTTCGTAGTGTATTTGTGGTAGCCATCAAGATCTAAAAACTGAGTAGCAGAATATTGAAGCTTGCAATAATTCTACTGTTAAATAAATTATTTTAGTCCGTTTATTTTGCATCTAACCCAGTCAAACATACTCACATCTTTCACAATGATTCACTGTGAAAGTAACTTACGAATATCGTAGAAGGAGAATCTTATTGTTTCTAGTCTGACTCTCACAGAGATTGTAATCGAACAGAAATGCTTTAGTATTGCACAATGTTTTTTTATTATTTGATTCTGTTGTATGAATGTTTGCATGTCGTTTGCTCCAACCATACAGAAATGACAAAGCAACTTTGTTTTGTTTGTACAATGTGCTTCAACACGAAGCATTTTCTCTCTGTTATGATGTTTATTTAACATAATTTCACAAGACTGATTTGAAAAGTATATTCGATCTTTTCTCACTTCGTTTCAAAATTTTATTCAATAATAAATCACAAGCTAAAACATCTGATATTATATATGTAGAATGAGAATATGATCTTGACAAATAAAAGATTCTTGAGGATGTGTATGCGTTTGAAGCATTTCGAAGTTTTGGATGGTATTGATTTCGTTTTTATGATGTCATTTGATACTGTGAAACTTCAGTTGTTGCTACAATACATATATCAAAAATTCATTAGAATTAAAATAATATATATTCTATAGTATTCACTGGTGCTGGTGTATATGAAAATATTTTTTGATACAATACAAAAGAAAACTGTTAACATGTTGTGTAAATAGATATTACACATCTTGAGGATGTGAGCGTGATATAAATATGATACTCACACCCTTCTTATTTTGTACACACTCTGATTATTAGTTACTAAAAATACGTATTTTTATTGTAGATATTCATATTTTGAGTACAATTATAAATCATATATCAGCACTTGATTTATTAATGAAGTACATTAAAAAGAGTTTTTTCATTTATGAGCTCTTTAAATTATACAATAAATATCTTTCTCTAATAAAACTCTCCAATAAATATATTATAAAAAGCTACCAACAATAAAAAATGATAAGATTAGAAAGTTTGAAAATCGTTATAAAAGGAGACAGATCTCAATGAAATATACGTATATTTCTTTTCAATAATATTTATCATCATGCATCTACGTTGGATAATATTACTTACTACATTTATAGTTGTTAATGCACAAAGTAATTTCAAATTATTCACTGATATTAGTATTTTATAAATAAACTTCTAGGTGATCTACCAGCAACACCTCTTTTCATACGTGGATTATGGTGTCTTGCAAAACGGTCACAATCAACACAAGCATATACACAAACTGGTCAAGCTTTTTTCTATAATAATGGTACATTTACATTTAATTATCTTGATAATCCATCATCTACTTGGGTAAAAACAACAACAATGACATTTCACTAAAATTTAATACTATAATCTATATTTAGATCAATCATTTTGTGGCAGTGAATAATACAGATGGAAGTGGTGGTACTTATCAATTCTTCACAATGACAACACAAGGTAACAAGAACATATAAGTCTAGATGAATAGAAAACAAAGAGATATCGTTGTAGGTTCTTCACAATATTTAAATAAAACATCATGTTTTTGGCTACGAAGATTAAGTAATGGTGATGTTGTTTATGGTCGTCAATCAAATGGTAGTTGTACACCAACATTTGAAAATGATACATCATCTGAAACAACTCAATATACACGAAATCCTACAACATGTCGACTTATTGATGATGAAAATACTAATCTTGTTTTATCAAGTACATCATTCGAAACAGGAACACTTCTTCCATTTGATCGACGTTTACCAACAGCCATACGTCAAGGTGTTGTTTTCTATGGAAGTTCATCTATTGTAATGTGGAATACTTTAGCACAAGATTTTCCAGATTATACAACTCTAAATCGAGGTTTTGGCGGTTCAACACTTGTTGAATGCTTTCAACAATATAAACGCATTGCATATCCATTAGAACCAAGTGTATTTATTATTTATGCTGGTGAAAATGATATTGCTAATGGACAACCTGCTGTCGCTCTTCAAACAGTTTTCCGACAGTTTATTCCACTTATTCGTCGTTTTTATCCTCACATACCGATTGCTTTTATATCGTTAAAACCAAGTCCATCACGTATTGATAAAATGAATCAGATGAAAGACGCTAATAATCGCATTCGAGATGATATTCGTTTATTATATCCTGGTGTGACTTTTATTGATATATGGGGAGATATGCTTCTACCTGATGGACAACCAAATCGAGATTTATTTCTATCGGATATGTTACATATGAACAGTAAAGGTTATGTTATTTGGACAAAAGCAGTTGCAAATTATCTTCAATCAGTTTTTTAAAACATGACATACAAAAACAAAACATTAAAATGATTGTATTTTAACCATTAGAGGACGGAATTGTTTAATCTTTTTATTTTATTTTAACTCAAAATGGTTACATAAAAATCTTATGATTATCAAAAAAAACAATATTTTTTTCTTTTTCGAAGTCACCCTCGCTGGTATCTTCACTAGCATATAAATCATACGATTCATCATTTACATAGAAATTCATTCGTTTAGTTTTAATTTCGCAAACAATACAGAGAAATAGACAAAAAATATGACGTCATTGTACCTCAACGAAAGGAAGAGAAGAAAAGTATGTGATGATGAATGCAATTGTTTATAACCTTCATGATTCAACCTATTCAATAAGTTAGTATAAAATAAGTACTTTTAATAAAATCAGTCTATGCAAACGACACATCGAGAACTAGATGAATGATATTGAATTTAATAGTTAGAAAATTTTATTGATTATTTAATAAAAAAATAAAAATACAAAAAGAGATAAGATTGATAAAAAAATTCAAATGATTATTGTTAGCAGAGCTCTGTAAAACTTGATTCTGAGCAATAAAATTAATTGCTTCTTGAAAAAATACTGGATCAGATGCATTCTGTGAACTTATTTGATCGAGTAACATTTGATAGTATCCTGCTGCAACATTATTAAGAAGAAGTTGAGAATTCGCTCGAGCTGCACCAAGTATATTAATCGCTCGATTTGGTGATGATAAATTAGCTATTTGATAAAGATTCAAAGCATATTGTGAAAATTGGCTTACAGATACTTGAGTACCATTTAACGTGAACGTAGGAAGATTAGCAATTGCCTAAATAAATATTATTTTAATCATATTTAAATATGAAAAAAAATATAAACTTACAGTTGCTGATAGATTTCCATATGCTACTCGTTGAATTAATAATAAATGCATTGCAAGTAATTCGGAAGAACGTGCATATATCAAAATAGGACTATTGTTATCAATAACAAGACTAAATTCACGTTGAGTAGCTGCATCTAATATACTTAAACAATCTCGAAATGAATTATTTTGATAATAAATAATTCCATAAACTTGATTTATCATTAGTGATATACTAACTGATATATATGGATTTAATGATGCAGTTTCATTAGAAAGTACAGCAAAACGAGCAAGATGTTCATCTATTGTTGGTTGTATAGTTGGATCAGAATAAGTTGCATTGATATTTGTTAATATCCGAAAACAACTACCTAAATTATTATGATATTTATGATAAAAAAAAATATAATTTTTTTTTGTAAATGTTACTTAGTCGATATCCTGCTTCGCTCCATGCTAAATCTTCATCTGTCATATTAGTATTCGATGTAAATGAATCCAATGTATCATGTAGTTGTTGTACTTTATTTGCCATGTCAATAAATTGAATATCGTATGGTAACCAATAGAATATATTGATAACAGCACGTGCACGAGTTCGATAAGCATATGATAAATAAAGACTTGATATTGGAAGTGATTCATTATAAGCAAGATACAAATCAGTTATGGAAGATAATGTATCGTTCCAATCACCTGTTTGTAGAAAAGAAGAAGCTAGCCATTCTGTGGCTGTTCCTCGATTTCTAGCATCACATTGAAGAAAAGCTTGCACTTGATCTGTAGTATTTAATTGAGCTAGAACAGAGTTAAGTTCAGTTGAAGCAATAGTCATATTACGACCCGTTATTTTAATTAAACATAATGATAAACTAGCTTGAAGAGATGAGAAATCAGATGATTTAGCCGAAGCATATGAACCTAATAGTAGAAATTAGATAATATATAAAAAAATGAATAGATTATTATAGAAGTATTTTTTCTTCTTATGTAATATATCATCAAATTCTAATTACCTATACGCATCCAAATATGAGCAGGTATAAATATTGCATAGGACAATGTCGAAGATAAGTTTTGATAACTTGATACATAATCTACTGCTTTATTGGCTATACTACTCTGAGCAACATCATAAGCGAGTATCATATAAAGAAGGGCACCCGGATGATTTGGTTCATTTTTTAAAGCACTTGCCAATACTTCTCTTGATTGCAACATTGGTGCTGGTTCCATTACACCGTCGAATTGATCTTGATATGCTACATTGAGAAGAGAAAGACCCCATAAAACCGTAATATCAGTTACATTTGGATATGCTTGTGATAGATTTCCTATTGATGTTGAAAATGCAAGTTCTCCAGCTGCTATAGATGACTCATTGGAATACCATAAATAGGCAGTTGAAAGAAGTGATGATTGCAATGGTAATAATGTAATATTTGATGTATTCAACATGCTTTGAGCTGCATTGTATGCTGCTAAACCACAATTAAAATCAGTCTCCGACCATATTGCATGTTTACATCTAATAAAAACAAAAATATATCATATCGAAATGTAGAATATACTAAAACATACGCGAGTATTTTACCAATGTGAGCTTCTATGAATGTAGGAGTGACATTGAGTGCTAAATTAAAAGCATCTTGTGCTTCATCATACATAAATGTATGAAGACAAAGGTATCCAATTGCAAAATGATGATGAGCAAGTGATGATCGATTAAGTGTAAGACCTAATGGTTGTTGAATATCAATTAATTTTATATAGGATTCCCATGGAAGAATTCCATCTGATGTGTTCCATGATTGAGAATCAATATGGTTATAACTAATAAAAAGTACTACAAGAGTAAATGCTATCATATTTGGTGATCAAATACAAAATGAAAATATATTAGAATATATAATATGAAATCTATTCGCTTCGTTGACTATGAATAAAAGAAAATATACCAACAATGATAGACTATGAATATATCGTTGTACTCATCGATTCTTACGTTATGCAATTGTCTAATGAATAGAAGAAGCAAACAATTGTACAGTAAAAGTATCACGTGATGACTAAACAAAAATGGATAAGTACTTATATATATATAATGAGATAAAGCCTTTGTACGTCAATAAATACGTATTGACAGCTATTCAAACTAAACGGGCATTTAGTACTGCGACGTTTGATTACGAGACAATACATTTTACCTAGAAACTGAGGTTATATATATTTAAGTACTAATTTTTTTACAAATTTATCGAAGGTTCGTTTTTTGTATAAATGATCTTCACTGATAACAATTGTAATAAATTGAAATCCTACTCTTCATAACATATCATCTGTTAACATAATAACGCACATCACATTCCACAATAAATATTCAGTTTCGAAGACTTACAATTTAGCCTAATTTGTTATACCAGAACAATTTTAAAACTAAGCATATACTGAGTTATCTGCCAAAATAAATTTTTAAAAATAGAAAAAGTAATCAGCGAAATTTTTTTTACGAATGACTCACTACACTAGTGTTACTATCTTATTGTGAACATAAACAATTTCCTTTATAAAATCAATTGAGTTTTGAGTACATCTATTTGAAAGAAATTTAGCTATAATATAAATGTTGAACAATTAAATAATAATAAATTACATTGAGTTTTATTTAAGTTTCATTTAAAAATAAAACAGAAAAGTGAAAAAATGATTAAAATAGGAGAAAAACGAAAATTTATAGCTGAATTATGATGATCAAGATATTGATTTGCTTCTTTAAGAAAATAGTCATCACTATTATTGAAAGTAGTCATTTGCATATAAAGTTGTTGATATAAACTAACTGCTATGCTTTCCTGATGAAGATGAGCATTACATCGAGCCATACCAAGTGTATTTATAGCTCGATTAGGAGCTATTTGATCCGCTTTTTTGTATAAATCCAATGCTATTAATGGAAAGTTGTTAATATTTATCTGCGTACCATTTAGCATATATACAGAAGAATTAGTTGAATTCTTAAAGAAAATAAAAAAAGTAATATTGATAAAATAATTAGCTTAAGAAATACTTACTAATTGTTCTTGATATTTTTCATAGATAAGTAATAAATGCATAGCTAGTAATTCTGATGATCGTGCAAATATTAAAGTAGGACTATTACCACTTGATACAACTGCTGATTCTAGTTGAGTAGCTGTATTTAATTCATTTAAACATTCTTGCCATGATCCATTAATATAATAACGCATTCCAAGTACTTGTGGTATCATCATTAAAATATTATTTGCTATATATTTACTTAATGGAGTCGTTCGATTAGAAAGTATAAGAAAACGAGCTAGATGCTTATCTATTGTTGATGAAATACCAGATTTGTTATTACTTGTTTGAAAATTAGTCAATAATTGAAGACATTCAACTAAAATAAAGATAATATTCTTAATTTAAAAAATTAAAAAAGACTCATTTTACCATAACGATATGCTGCTTCACTCCATATAGGATACCATCCTGAAGGATTATCACCGAACAAAACTAATGGTTGTCCTTTGTTGAATAATAATAGAGGTTCGATTTTATTGAGAAATTGATTGCTATATGGAGACCAAAAGAAAATATCGACAATTGTACGTGCTTGAGCTCGATAAGCAAATGGTAAATAATGATTTGGTGTTAAAAGTGATTTATTGTCAGCAATAAATAGATTATGAGTTAAGGAAATACTACCTAACCAATCACCTGTTTGTAAACGAGAATAGGAAAGCCATTCTGTTGAATGAGCTCGATTTTCACCATCACATTTAAGAAAAGATAAAGTTTGATTTGTCGTATTAAATATAGTCAAAACAGATTCCAGATCAGGTGATAATATTAACGTGTGACGATTTAATATTTTAGTAGCACATAATCCTAAACTTACTTGAATAGCTGTTGTATCTGCACCCATAGCAAGAAGCCATGCACCTAATTCAATATATATTCGAATATTAAAAGAGTTTGCCAATAAATAAGATCAAATCTTTGCGGAAAATATTCTTTTACCTGTACGCATCCAAATATGACCAGGCATATGTTGTGCATGCGATAATGTTAAAACAGTTGTATTATACATAACTGCATAATCCGCTGCTTTTTCTGCTGTATTAACATGATCAACATCATAAGCGTGTATTAAATAATGAAGAGCACCCGGATGAGTTGGTTCATCTTTTAGAGCAGCTTTTAGTGTTTCTCTTGATTTCAACATTGGTGCTGGTTCCATTTCACTTTCGAACTCATGTTGATATGCTACATTTAGAAGAGAAAGACCCCATAAAACTTTAATATCAGTTTCATTTGGATATGCCTGTGATAGATTTCCTATTGATGATGAAAATGCAAGTTCTCCAGCTGCAATAGATGACTTATTAGAATACCATAAATAGGCAGTTGAAAGAAGTGATGATTGAAGTGGTGATAACATAATATTTGATGTTTTTAACATGTTTTGAGCTGCATTGTAAGCTGCTAAACCACATTCAAAGTCAGTATCCGACCATAATGCATGTTTACATCTAATAAAAACAAAAATATATCATATCGAAATGCAGGGTGTATTGAAACATACGCGAGTATTTTACCAATGTGAGCTTCTATGAATGTAGGAGTGACATTGAGTGCTAAATTAAAAGCATCTTGTGCTTCATCATACATAAATGATTGTAGACAAAGATATCCAACAGAAAAATGATGATGAGTAATTGATGATTGATTAAGTACAAGACCTAGTGGTCGTTGAATATGACCTAATTGTAAATAAGATTCCCATGGAAGAATACCTTGTGATGTATTCCAAACGTAACAATTAGCAATTCTGCTAATTATAAGTATTATAAAGAAATTAATAAATAACATATTTTTTTTCTATAAAGAAAAGTGGAATAAACATATAGTATATAATAATAAACATATAAAAATACTATGGTATATCTATATACTAACAAGCACACGAATGTTTGTTAGAACCGATGAAAATGTATATAGACGATTAGATAAATATTAATCTAATTTGTGTACAACTATTTACGATTATGTAATAAGAAAAGAAAGCATGTCTTAAATGACTATAATGATCAAGAAAAAGTCAGAAAGTGTTTATATAATTGAATCAATAGTACGTTGTCTAAACAGTTATTTGTCGATCGTTATTGAGTTTATATATGGTTTATGTAGTGTATGTAAGTATAAGCTAATACAATTACTTTCTCTTACTCTTAATCATACAATGACATGATCAAATAATACTATCTTATTTCATTGTATAGATGTACGATCATTGTATGAAAAGAAATTATCATTCTTATCAAAGATTTTCTTAAAAACTTAACAAAAATTATAGACTGTATCAGTAACAATACTTTTGAAAAGATTTATAAACTATGACTATTAGAATGCGCGGTTAAATAAAATACTCTTATATTATTCAACTATCACTCTTTCTAAAGTACTATTAACTTATGATCGAAATATACAATAATATTTACATTGAATGTGTAAAATGATGTATAATTGTATGAGTATAATTCGTTATTGTGATATATATTGTTAATTTTTATACTACGCGACTTCTTACTAGACATAGTTTCATAGAGTAAAACTAAATAAATGAATACAGTCAGATTATTTTTATCGAAAAATGACCTTGTCTTGTAAACCATACTAAATCGAGAAGAAAAAAAAGAAACAAATAATCATGTACGATACTACTTATTTGTTTTCATAGCTTTAGTATGACTTAGGTGAATTTGATGAGGATATTTGCGTAGTTTCTTTTTTATCAATAAGTTTATATGGTACTATTATAACGTTGTTTTACTCCATGCATAGTCCTTCAAAATATTATAATCGTATCGGCAGCATCGCAATAACAAATAAGATCAAGTTTCTTTATCTAAATTTTTTTTAATCAAAGGAAATGAGATCTTTTTTCATTTCATCATTGATATTATTGGTGAAATAATTTATTTGATAAAAGAAACGTGAAGAAATAGAAGATTATTGCGTATTTGTTGTGTAAAAACATGTTTCTTAAAAAGAAAATTTGTATACGATAGAGTTCAATGATTTTTTCAATGTTTAAAAAAAAAGATCATCTGAAAATAAACTTATAAAATGATCAATTAGTAAAGCGTCTTATATATTCAGAGTTGTGAATTTTGTGGACACTACCAAAAGTTTCACAGGCGACGAACGTCTCCGAGTACGACCATTTAATTTAGATCGTTTATGTTGAATTCGAAATACAGATCTATTTCTGTATTGGATATGTGAATCAAGTTGCAACAATTTTTCTCAAGATGTAACAACTAAATATTGTATTCAATATTTTTTTGTCATTGTAGTTTTCTTTGTTCAATCGTTATAATCCATTAGCTTAACATTCTTCAATTTAACTTTTCCTTCTTGATATAATCGATTTTAATAGATAGTTTGTAGTTTTGGTTTAAATAAAACATGTAGAAAATGAAGACTGTTGTCTGAAGAAATGGTAATATTATTGCTGAGAAAAAACAACTGATTGTGATTTTGTAGAAATTCTACATTTTTATTATGTTTTGTCCGATCTTAAATACAATTTTGTTCGAGTTGAAATGAAAAATTCAAGTTTATAATGAAAAAAAATAAATGTGTGCACACAAATAAAAATATTTATTTAGACATCGAATATCTTAATTCATACGCTAAATCTTTATCAAAAATTATTCAGTGTAAGAAAGAATAATAATTAAATACGTATAATCAGTTATTTTGATGTATATTATTAATTCTGATACTAAATGAATAGAAAAAGTTTATATTTATTTGAAAACTAGTTCATCTAATAGATTAGAATAAATCGAGAATAGAAGAAAGAAGAATAATTATCTTGGATACTAGTAACTTGTTTCTGTAGGTTCAGTTGAGTTTAAATTCATTTGATGAAGACATTTAAGTAGTTTTCTATCAAACCATTTTTTAAAAGGCATTGCTCGCAACCATTGATATGGTAGTTTTTTATAGCCATATCTTGCTCCGTACATAGTACCACAAACGGCTCCGTTTGTATCTGCATCACCTCCATATCGAATAAGATCATTGAGTGTTTCTTCAAACGAACGAGTAGATCTCAAGCCATAAAAACCTGCTGCTAAACACTTATATGTATAACCAATACTTCTTGGCTCATCAAAATTTAATTCTTCTAAAGTACGTGCTTGATCTGTATGCCATAAGAATGCTTCACGATCTTCTGGAATAAAACTATCACCAAGTATATCAATAGTTTCCTTTTGAACACGTGTAATTAATGATTCAATATCATCATTAACACTTTCTTCTCTCAAAAGATAAGCAATAGTTAAACAAACTGCTAGACATGAAGCAATACATCGAGGATCAAAATGAGTTGTTTTACACATCAGTATTGCCGTTGATTTCACCTATTGAAAAATAGATAATATAAGATGGTTTTTAATATTTATTCGTCTGTAACTATTGATGTTTACGTGTGTGTTTTACCTTTTCTAGATCATTGAAATGGACAAAAGCCGATGCAGAACATCGCATAACAGCTCCGTTAGGCGCTGCTTGACGACCACCACGTTCCCATACCACTTCACTTGCTTTGAGTGGATGAGTAAGATAATTATTTGAATTAACGACCTATTATAAAAAATAAATCAAGGTTTGAAACTTATCAAGACATTATATATGAAACAAATCATAACAGCAAAAGAAAGGTTCTTTACAATCATTATAATAATTTTAGCTCTATCTAGTTCAAAATGAATCAATTTTCGTATGTAGACACTGTTTATCGATGTTTATCTCAATGTGGCATTTGTTTCTTTTGTCAATTTAATCACAGAAGATTTTTAGTACAAGAATGAAATTACCTGCGATACATTAGCGCCTAATCCCATTCCACCATAATCACCTAATTCTGGATAACCTCTATTGATCCATGTTTTTAATTTTCTTGCAAATACAGTCACATCGCCATCGTGTTCCGTTAATGTCTCTAAAATTAATATCCATTGATCTGTATCATCAGTCCAGTCACCTCTTGTCCATCGACTTGAATGATGAGTTAAGATATAGTTTGGATATGGAATTAGTTTCTTTTTATCAGGATAGTTTCTTGCTACGATATCACGTGTTTCAAATTCAGTCGATAAACCATAAGCATCACCAAGCGCTTGTCCATATGCACAACCAAGAAGACGATCAATTAAATGTTGGTTTGTTTTATTTTTTAATATTGATTCAAGCAAATCAGGTTCATTACTACCATAGGATATATCGGTACCATCTGATCTTTTGTAATCGTCACTATGAGATGAGGATCTGCGTCCACTGCTAGTATGAGAATTGTCTTCACCACTGTTAGAAGACATGTTTAAATTGACATCATGAGATGGATTGGTATTTGTATCCGAAGATATGTCTCGAATACTGTTGGTAGCAGTACCTACGTTATCATTGAAGATTGTATCTCTATTATTTCCTTGTTGGATTCCGTTATTATCGATTGATGATCGTCGATCATGCACTTCATTCGATTCACTATAAAATAGACGTTACAAAAGAAACATTCATAGATAGATGGTAGAAAAGTATCACTCGATTCGTATTTTTAAAAAGTACTAAAAAATTGTTCGAAGTGTGCTTTCATACATAAACTACTAATTCGTATTCCTGTATATTGCAATTATAAAGATAATCAACAAATTTGAGTAGATTTACTTGCTAATACAATATATGAACATATTATTTCAATATTAGAATAACTACAACTTTTATATTCAATAGAAATTTTCAGTTTAAACGAAAGCAAATGTCAATGTCAATAAATAAAATGAGTCACTAACTTAAAATTCCTAGTAACATATTGGTTTATTTTATTACTGAAAATAAAAGTTTTCTTTAAGTCAAAATACGTTTTGGAATGATAAAAGTATTCTATGTTGATAACTTACTTTCGTGATTCTTCACGATTGTTCACAGTGTCTGACATTGTTATAATAATCTAGGAAGAAAAGTATGTTGAGAGTCAGTCGTTTAAATATAAGAAAAAGAAAGGAAGAAAAAAAAAAGAATTGCCAGAGCATGTTGTTGGTAGAATTTTTCTCCGAGATTCTTATCACACTTAAATTTTGATAATTTCACTGCAATACAAATTTTATAAAGTACCTTTTTCTTTCCAAAGTGAAATTCATAGAATTTCTAAAGTATCGAACATGTAATTCGAAGGCAAAGATGATATGTAACCAGGCGTTATGCAGAGGTCGCTTTATACTTATTACCGAGTTTGAAATACAAACAAACGCATCTAGTCTAAATTTAAAATCTGTTACATTTTGTAACATGATTAACACTTTAGCTATACTAGAACATCCTTTGAATCAAATTTGAAAAAGAATTGAATTGATATATATTGAATTTGAAAATCAATCTTTATAATTTAAATTAAGATGGTATTGCAGTCTTATCGTAACTTGTAGAAGAAGATGATCGTTTTGGAAGCGTAATAATAGTTCGTTTATTTAAGAAGAAAACCCAAGTATTTATAGGATAAGAAATAGTTACTCTGATTATTTGCATCTCTTGGAATACAACATATTCTAGGAAAAAATATTTACGTGATATCCTTTAGTTCGTCACTTGGAAATAACACATTTCAATATAAGTCAAAAGAATAGAAGAAGAACGCATTTAGATAACGAAAGGAAAAATACCATACGAACATATATGTGAAAGTAAGCGAGAAAATACCATATGATCATATATATGAAGGAATAGCGAACAAATAATCTATATGTTCGCTTACGAATTGTAATTTCAGAATATTTTTTAATCAATGATTTACATTATGAATTGTAACACAACTAACTATACATGCATCATCAAGAGTCTGAGCTATTCCAGGGAAATGTCGAATACATGATTTTGTTTTTAAAGATTTCAGAAATACTTCTGTTATTCAGTACATGTAAGTTATTATGAAATTCTGCGTTTGATTTCATCGAATATTTTACGATTGATTATATCTATTTTGAAATTTTATTGTATTCAATTATGAATCTCTTAAAACCATGCGAAAATTTTGAAAAGAACGTTTTATAATCCATACATTAATTCTAATCGACTTATTCAAGAACAATATTTCGTTTACTACAACAAATAATAATGTTTATCAATCCGTGTTCACATTAATCCAAGAAATACTTTTTTTTAGGATACGAAATTTATTTTCTCGAATGAGTCATTATTTATTTTTCTAATAAATGTTCTGCTTGGTTGATCATACACATTCAAACATTTTACTTATATCATAAAAACATAAATATATTCTATTCAAATATGTTTTCATTCAATCCATTCCGCTCTCTATCCAATCAGTCAAATAACAACAATATTCCATCTTATACTGCAAATTCAAATAATAATCCCCAATCTAATACAATGACAGTTTCAGGTGGTCTCCGAACACCAGGTAAACAACCACGAAATAACATGTGTTCAGGTGGAAGCAACTGCGCAACTCATTATTAGACAAAAAAACTCGATATATTTTTTTTTGTAATAAAAATAAATTCATTTTTTGTTTTTCTTAATTTTTATTTCATAATATAAAAATCTAAAAGTGGATAAGATAAATAAATTTCTTTGTTTATCAAATACAAATAAATGAATAAATATCGCGAATAAAATGATCACAGTAGAATAATCGAATGTAATTTAAATAACGAACAAGAAAAACGATTAATAAAAAAAGCTCGTCGAGATTCTTTACGAATAAAAAAAAAAGTTGATTTTCTTTTAACATCGAATTAAAACTATTTCGATACAGATATATTTGAATTATTATCAGTAGTATTATTTAAATTATGTTTTCGTTTCATTTCTACTGCACGAACATGTGCAAATAGACCAGATCCACCAAGAACAAATAAGTTTGATATCCACCAAAGTGTTGTTTTTGTCTACAAATTAGAATAAAACCCAATAAAAAGTTTTCTTTTTGTTTAATATTCTTACTTCAATATAAATCATAACAGCAAGTAATGTTTGAACATACGATTTTGCTGTACCTGATACATTATGAGTTAATGGACTTGTCATTTGTATCTGATAACCTGTGACATAACCCATTGAAAATCCCAGAATACCAGCTAATATCATTGGAGTTAAAAATGAAATACTGAGAAGTTTTGGATAGCTAAAAACAATTGGTAGTTCACCAAAAATAATCATGAGAGGAAGAAACAGAATACAAGCATTGAAATTATTATATAAACATAGACGCCAAACATTTTTATCAACACATGGTAAACATCGAGTTGTATATATAGCATTTAACGCCACAAATATACTTGATGCTATACCACATGATGCACCAAATAATGAAAGAGTACCTGGAAAAAGAGAATATATTATATAGATTATTATGCAAAAAAAGTTCAGAAAAATCGGATGTATATATTTTTTTATAAAATCAATCGTTCGAAATCAAAGTTGTTTTGTGCGGTACAAAAAAAAAGTTAATTGCAGAAGATATGCTTAGATTTGTTGAAGAATTATAGTTAATTAAACATTTCTTTCTCGAAATACTAACTACCTTAAATTTGTTCTCATTTATCTAAAATACACAAGAATAGCTTGAACAAAATTAGTTCTGTCTAAAACATAAGTCATGTAATAAATAATGTCTTAAGAGTACTGATAATGATTAATCAACATTTACGAATAAAACTCTTATTTACCTAATGCATTTTCTTGATCGATACCAAGAAAGAATCCAGCAATAATAAGAGAACAACAACCTAACGCTTTATAAGAAGTTCTTTCACCAAGCATAAAATATGTAAACACCTAAAATAAAAGATTCCAATGATTTTCTATTTAAATCTTTAATCGATAACATACCACATTAGCAACCGTGGTTAATGATCGACCAACCATATAAAATGATACAGTTAAATGTTTCAAAGTTAAATTATTAAATATTATCATTGCAACAAACATTAACGAAAGTGGAAGGACCTAGAGAAAAATTTAACTTTTGTAATTTAAGTTACTTTATTAATAGAAATTAGTTTTCTATACATCACGTGCGATTTTCAGATCAATTTTAAATGAAGGAAATTTTGAAAGAGCTGAGACACTTTTATTTAAACTTCCAAGTATACCACAAATTCCAACTGTTACTACGCATTGAAACCATGTAATAAATAGTGGTGCGTCAAGCTATATACAAAATATGATTAATAAAAGATAAATTAATCGAAAAAAACTTACTTTAACATCTTTTGAGCTAAGTAAATATTTATTCAGAAATACCATAGTAATCGAAACAAACCTTAAAATAACAACGAAATATTCGAGAAACTTTCTATTTGAAATTCTTCATACCAATAGAGACCGACGGCAATTGCTATTTGTATATAGCGACTTTTAAGTGTATCTCCACTGGCATTATTCGATGTGGATGATGATGCAGATTCTTTGACTGGTATTACAACATCAAGTTTATCTGTGGAATTATTTAGTAGTTCGTATGAACTGTTATTCATCATTATAAAATAAAATCTGAAAAGAAAGAAAGTTTCATTATTTATCGTTAGAAGTATTATTATTATTATTAAGATCGTCTAAAAAAGTATAACCAATCGATAATAAACAACTTGATAAGGTTAAACTGGATATAAGTCTTAATGATTCAATTCGACCAAAGAAATGATTAATATTATTGATAATTATCAGTGAACCAAAATTGAATATGGTTGATAGAAATAATGAATATGTTAAACGTTTTTCAATTGGAAATTTTGATAGATAAATGCTTTTATAGAGAAGCCAATTAAAACCAATATTTGATAACCAAAAAGTTAGTTCAGTAAAATAAATTGAAGATGATTTAAATATCCTATAAATTTAAAGATGTATCTAAATCAAATTCACAACAAAATAAGTAGTATCACATAATTTCGAATTGTACCCATGATTGAGATTTGACATCTTTGAGAACATTAGTACAATATTCATCAGATATTACCAAAAGAGGACTCTGTTCGTAATTCGAGAACTCTGTTAGAAAGGATTTATTGAATTTTCCCATTCTAACAATACAAATAATATAAAATAATTACATAGTCCATAGATTTGGTGCTGAAATTGAACAAGTTCGAAGAAGATATAATGATGTAATTGCATAACAAATATTATCTTTATGAATCCAAAATGATGATGAAGATGTTTTAGTATTTATTCGCTTTCGATTTTCATTTTGAAATAATAATGTAGATTTCATCGTTTATTTTTATTTAAAAAAAAAGTATCTGAAAATAAATAAGAATTACTCTATTTTTGAAATAGATATGTTATGACATAATGTATCTCTCTTCATAAAGACTATTAACTTGTTTTATAAAAGAAGGTAAATAAGGAACGATAACAAGATGTATGTACTATATTGTTTAGATAACAGAAGAAAATTTTATTCGACTTTAGTGGCATTCTACGTGCTCAAGTTTATCAGCGACATCAATTATTTAACTGAATATTTTGTCAGCATCTGTTAATAATATCACTGTATTGAAATGAATGCTTAAGAAACAAAAAAGAATTCTAACGATTATCATAAAAAGTAAATATTATTCTGTGTCTATATTATATAGACAAAGTTTCCCCACACTATCGATTATTAACAGAGATATGGAGTTTACAAGTGAACGGTTTTTCTGATTTATATTATTGTCTAAAAATAAAGATTTTTTAGAAATTCCTATTCCATTTTGACCGAAATAATTCTCGAAAATAACCATTAAACTATCTTTTAAAGGTTGATCTAGATTAATGACAAATTGTCATATTTTTTTTACGTCCTGCTAGTGAATTATGAGATAGCTTTAATGTATGTTTTATACGCAAATTCCAATTTCATAGGTCTAACATAGTTTTAGGTTATAACAATATCTCCTCGATTCAGTTTCGGTAAATTATATAAATCAACAAATGAAATTTTTTATATTTGAGTTGAAGATTTAAACATACCAGATATAAACAAGTTTTCTGACTATTACGATGGAACATACCGTTTAAACGTAACGTAAGCCATATCAATGTTACTTTTCAATTCGAATTGTTGATGGATAATATTCAAATAATTTAAGACAATATTGAATCATGTGATTATTAGTTTGTTTGTTCTTTATCAAAACAAAATGTGTTAGCGTCATCATGACATAAAAAGATTTCGATTTGAGTTTGAAGTGTTGATTGTAATTTCTTCTTTAGTAAATGTTGTTTTGAAATTTTTATACCAAACGAACGTCTAGTTCGTTCTCATGAATCACATGGAAGAATTTCTTTTTTAGCTTTAAGGCATAGTACTGCACGTTGTTTACCATTTAGATTGACATTATCCAAAAACAAAATTTTCGATGTTGAGTAACGTGATGATGTTAAAGATCGAGGTATACGTAGTTTTTTTTAACTTCTTCTATTAATATATTTTCTCTGTTTATCGTAATTTAACATTTTCATTTGTTAATTTTGAAATATTAAGACATTGTTCACCTTCTTTTCTTCTTAGATCATTGACACTTGATGAAGTTATTGCCGCCGTTGATAATTTTTGACGACACTTTTTTCATACGATATGCAGCTGTTGTTTCCATTTTGAAATAAAGAATGATGATTGTACTTTTTACTTATGAATTGGCGAATAATTAACCGCAATATATTTAAAGAGTATATCTATACCAAACTATTTATAAGATTCTGTGTTTTGACAAGAATCAATCTTCTGTGAAGTTTTCGATAGTATATAGTGAACTCAAACGCCACTGGATTGAATTCTACATTATGGTTTACACTTCACGTTGGGTAGTGTGACTAAATTCTCTTAGTTTCACTCTGTGAAGTTGCTAAAGTCGTTTTTTCGGGATTTGGATTAAACCAAAAGAAACATTTATTGTGTGGATATATGAGTTAATCCACTACTGCTTGTTATTCTGTTCTGTTTCGTTTCTTCTTCTCTTACTTTAATATGTATTATTCGATCTTGTATCTATTTTTCTTTATCGATAGATTTATAGTCTGTTGCGTTTCTTCTCTCTCTAAAACGTGCCTGGTATATGGCGAAACATGCGAGAGTGTTCTGTTTTGCGAGGCAATGAGGCAATCGATGTATTTTTCTTTTATGAGAAGGTGAAAATAAAAATAAGAAGCGAAATTAATAACAATCACATCGTCTGTTACTCTTTAGCTCAAGTAAAATCGACAATGTTTAAATAATACTTTAAATAATCAATAAAGTTCTAAGCAAGATACGAGTGCATTTCGAATGTGAGATAGTTAAAGAGTAATAAAATGTACAAAATTTGTCCAAAAGCGATTGACTGAAACATAAATCATAGGAACAAAATGGAGCTTGTTATTATTAATTTTATATTTGAACATAAATAGCTAAGGGCGATAACTAGAATGACTGATTAGTTTTTTCTACCGATAACGCATATAAATTCATATACTCAAAAGTTTCTAGAAACAACAATTTGTCCTTCATAAAGACAGTATACTGTTTTGAAATTAAACTCATGGATATACGCTTACTTTCGTTTGTTAGCCAATATAGTATTAACAAGATCAAATGCGAGGATAACACATACTAAACCTTACGGATTGATAGTACAAATGTAAGCACCATCAAAATTATCTTCATAAATTGTTTCTGGTTTAAAATAATTGAAGAAAACTATAAAAATTCAAACTAGATATCCTTATAATCAAATTGAATTATACTCACTTTTACAACCATAATTGAGATTGTAAAACAATCGTTCAATATTACTTGTTTTTTGTATGTTTAGTGTTTGATATTATCTGAAAATACTAACGCTTGATTAGAAAATGGTATTGTATAACAAAAATACTAACGCTCGATTATGAAATTTGTTTACAAAAAAAAATAACACATATTTGATCATTTCAATTTAAACAAATATTTCAAATAAACAAAAAAAAACAATTAAATAAACAAACAAACAAACGAACTTATTGTGTATCATCTTCCATAGGTGATGAAAAAGTATATAAATTACTAAGAAAATCTTCTGTTGTTTTGATTTGTTCACTTTTAACTTCATTCTTACGTTCAGAATATATCGTTTGAATAAGATCAAGTAATTCTTGATATTCAATAGTTGATTTTGAATTTGGTTTACATATATAAATATGATTTTTATTTAATACAAAAAATTTTCCAATATTTATTTGTGAACTTTCTGACGGTACAACTACTGTTTGATAACGTAATGAAAATGTTGTTTTTTCATTTTCGGCAAAACTTAAAATTTTAATATTATCATGAGTTTTGAGAATATCAAGAAAACGTTCATGTAAATTAAGAAGATTTGTACTATTCGGTTGTAATTCTTCAATTTCAACAGTTGGACGAACAAAAAATGCATGACGAATACCAAATGATGCTAAACAAGAATTCATTAGAAATAACACAAACAATTTAATTAAGATAAATTCGAGCTTTAGTTGCTTAGTGACAGAAATAAGTTGCTGAATGGATGGAAAACAGCAGAAAGGGAAAATAAGAGTGAGGTTGATTTACACTTCAATAAATAGGAAGAATAATAAACTTTAACAAACCTAATTCAGCTCCAAAATGTGGTACTGAAAAAAAAACACATGCACGTGTATTTGATCGTAATTCTTCATTTTCTTCATTGGTTAAAATGTATTTTGTTAATAATCCTCCCATAGAATGTGCTACCTTTAAATATAAATACAAAATCATAATAATTAATGCAAATTCTATATAAATATTGATTTTAAAGGTACCCATATAATCGGTCGTTTGCCAACGCCAGCTTGTTTTAATTGTTCAGCAATTTCTTGTGCTCGATCATGCATTGGTCGTCGGATAACATTTCTTGGCATTGATCGAACTTGCCATTCCGAAACTCTTGATTCATAATCAACAGCTAACATACGTATATGTGATGTTGGAACATCTTTACTTAACCAATCTTTTGGCCAACATGATGTTGATTCGTGTTCATCAATATTTGGAACCGGAGTAGAGGTATTCGTTTTTGATGGATTCCAATTTGTTTCTTCACTAACATCCATTACTTCATCACTTTCTTCTTCAGGCGATTCATCAACTACAGGTAATATTTTTCCTTCTGATGGTAATGGTGATGCATCGGCTTGTTTTATTTCTGTATGTGCAGATTCTTGTCGCCAAGTTTTAAAAGCTGAACCAGCTAAACCATGAAACTAACAATGATAATTAATATATAAATATAAGTATAGATAAATTCGATAAATAACTTACAAAAATAATATCAACAATAGGTTCTTGATGCCATCGTACATCCGGATCTATTTGTTGAACGTTATACATTGCTGGACTGAATAGAATAATCTAAATGAAAAGAATTATTCGACTATCATTATCAAAACAAAGCGATAAGAAGGGAATTGTTCTTCTTGCGTATTTACTGAAGTCTTCTGAATCTATACTCTGTGTATTATTAGATATTATCATAGAAGTAAACCGAAGCAGCACGCGTAGGTTACAACAAAGTAAATATACGATTGGAGAGCTGATTCGAAACGTTACCTGTCAAAATTAGTCTGAAACTATCCAATAACACGAATCGAATAGAATAGAATACCTTGAAAAGATATAATGGATAGCATGAAGGTTTTACTATGACTATTTAGAATATAATAGAATATTTACTTTATCACCATACACTTGATCATTGATCCAAGACGGAACTGACATTGATTTTTCTTGTTCTATTACTGTAACTTTATTATCATCATTTATTGAATGACTTGTATCAATATCTGGTGCAACAACAATATTCTTTTCAACATGATGATCATCAGTAATTGCATTATCATGAATTTCATCAGACGTATCACCTTCATCAGAAACTTGTCTTGTGTACCATACACTACGCACAATTTTATCCATAACAGTTGGTTGTTTCGATGGTGGTTGATGTTCAAGTACATCTTCTTTTTTTTCTTCTGTTTTAATTTCTGCTTTAATTAATTCAATATTACTAATTTCTGATGGTAGATATAACGGTTTGGGATTTTTATTTATAGATATTTTTTCTTGACTGAGAGATGCACTAGAAAGAAATTTCCGAATATTATTAAGAAAAATTTCAATCATCTAACAACTTTTCATGATTTGGTCGATCAAGATTAGCTAATATTGTTGCTCCAAGTAAAGAATAAATAATATTATTTTCATCTAATGCCATATCATGTAGAATTTTTACCCAGCCTATATAGAAAAATAAAATCTTATAATTATTTTAGATAAAATTATTTTCAAACCAACGGCATAAAATGCTTCATGTGTTTGTCTTTCTCGACTGAGTAGAAGAAGAATTTTTCCAATAAATCTTACAAATGGAACATTATCTTTTCGTCTTTCATATAAATATTTTAATATTTGTAAACCATTTGAATGAACAACATCAAGTGGATAACGATCAGCATAACCACGAAGTGCATAAACAAATGTGGAATAAAGTTCTAAATTTGATCGATAACGTTTTATAGCTTTTGGTGACATATCAGCATGTTCAGGTTCAAAATGTTGTACAAGATCAAATACAGTTTGAGAATCAATTTCATCCAAATAGGATTTCAGCTATAAAATAAAAACGAAAGTAATTAACACAAATATTATAATTAGATCTGACTTCAAACATGAGCATGAATATGATTCATCGCGTCATTATGAATAATAGGTATATCAATCATGTTTCATTGCTATTTTATATTTAGTAATATTTCGATTTTTTCAGAGTTTAATTTTTTTTAGTGTAAAATAAAAGTTTAAGAAGTATACTAAACACTTACTGAATAAGTATCAAAAACGATGATTCAAATCTCACTATATTCATACAAGGCTTTAGTCTCGTATCTCTAATTATAATGACTGATTAATATTATTCAAAAGAACATTAGATTTTTGGCTAAGGAATGTAAATCACAGTGAGGCTGAATAAATTATATGATTTACAGCGTATATTAAAACTTTCGCGCAATAGTTTGTTTCAAGTCAAATCGAAAATACTGATTTTATGTCTGTATAACAGAGTCAAACTCTTAACTTAATGTAGAAAAAAATTACCGTATAATTCACGAAGACGTAAACAGATAAGGTAATATTCTCTAAGATAGAACCCAACAATATGACAATGAACAACTTATTTTGTTTCTATCTTACTAGTCCTAGAATTATTGTAGTTTATACACATGAGATTCTTTGAATTAAATAAATATATTTAAGTATATTGTACTCGATTACGCAGACATATAAGAAAAGATATCTAATCAATACCAAATAAAAAATGATGTAAAATTTGATCATTATTACTAATATCAAGATTTCTCTTACCAATTTAAGATAATGATCACTTAATATATCTAATGGACGTTTTTCATTATCAATTAATTTGTCAAGAAATTCTGTTATCGTATGTAAAAGTACATCATCATCGTTAACACTTTCTACATTATCTGTAGCAAGAACTTTTTTCTTTCCAATTGATAATATATAAGGTGGACCAGTTGGAAATAGATTTGAATTAGCTTCTTGTGTTCGTGCTAATTGAATAGCTGAATGATAATCAAGTTGTTGACCAATAATTGAATAATATGTTGGTGGTAAATTTTTTAATTTAGCTAAATGACTAAGACCACGTTCACGTATATGAGTATTCGTTGAATGAATTTGTTTTATATATTGTAAAGCTTGATGATAATGTCTTGCTGCTATTGGATCAATTGATTCCATTGGAATATAGTTATTATCATCTTTATTTTTTAATAAATCATCAGTTAAATGAAGTTTTGATTCAAGTAATTGTAATGATAAATCATTCGAATTCTTTTCATTGAAAGAATTATCTTGTTGTCGATGAATCAAACGATTAAGACCGTATGTAACTGCCGCTGCACTTGTTATTAAAACGAGAAATGTACGATGTCGACGACGCATTCTTTTCTGACAACTAAATATAATAATTATTTTCTATAAACAATTTTATGCAAACATTTTTTATATGTATATTTATGACTATTATTGTCAAGGTAGATCGAAAGGGCATGAGACTGAATCAAGCATAGCATATTCTTTGGTTTTAAATACCACCAAAGATATTGAGAACCAATAGATGGCGTATTATTTTGATTGACAATAGAAAAAATTCTTTTGATATAAGTTAATTTGTTGATAAATTACAAATTAAAATGAACTTCTGGAAAATTTTACAATTATATCGATCATTTTTATTTATCATATGTTTTTACCGCTTAAAATTATCAACAGTTAGTTTTTATTTTTTATTTTCAACATCGAATGCCTTTGAAAAATTCATCAAATAATGGTATTAAAATATAAGACAAAATAAATATCTTGAAATTATTTCATATTTATAGTTTTCTATGATGAATATCGTTGTTTTAATAATAATATGTATGAAAAACATGAATATAGAAAAAGAAAAGATTCTGATTTAAAATTAAATGAATCGAAAAAAAAGAGTTCAACATTTCATTCCAATGAAAAACGAAAACATCGTCGATCATCATCTTTTCATACAAATAAAAAACCGGAATTTGATGATGCACGATTATTTTGTGATGATTGTAATAAATACTATGAAAATATTTGTCCTCATCATAAACAATCTTATATCCCAGATAGAAAAGTTTGTTTCAATTTTAATGTTAAATGCATATCTTTAGTTTATTACGAAGATATCAAAATCATCACTTAAATATTCCAATCGAAAATCAGATTTAACTTGTCCAGATGGATTTATTATTAAACCATCAACTATACATAAGGCTGGTAATGGGATATTTACAACAAAACAATTGGAGAGAAATACTTTTTTCGGACCTTATATTGGAATACGTCATTCAAATTTTAAAAGTGCACAAGAATCAGGATATGCTTGGAGTATTGCAGATAAAAATGGCAAAGTAATATTTTCATAGAAATTGGGTTTTTTTTTGTTCAAAAGAAAATTCATACTTCTATAGATGATTTATATTATTGATGGAAATGATCCAGATAATAGTAATTGGATGCGATATGTAAGTTAAACTATAAAATCATTGATGAAATATATCTTTATCTTCTATTTAGATCAATTGTATGTATTGAATAACAGAAATCGAAGTTTTTATTTGTATATTTATTATTTTAGGTCCAAATGCAATTGAACAACAGAATATACAACCTGTTCAATATGATCGAAATATGTTTTATAAGACTATGCGAAGAATTTATCCAGGAGAAGAATTATTTGTTTATTATGGAGATGATTACGCTCGATTTCTTGGTATACAACCATTTAGCAGTGATTCAATACAAAATAGTATTACTAAAATTTTACTGTTATAATAATAATACTTTTTTTAAATATAGATAATCATATCCATAGCAACGATAATCATTAATTTATCTTTTCGATAAAATGAACTTAATCAATTATATAAAAACAATTATATTCTATCGTTAGTTAATTTGAATAGATTTATCATGATTAACTATGAGAAGAATCCGTAACACAGATAATTTTTTGTGTGTTAGATTTCTTCGATGAAATCATTAATACAATTTCATTTGCATTTATTAGATCTAGTTGATAGAATTCAAAATCAATCAGATACTACATATTGTTCATTCATTCAAATCTAATTGATAAATTTCATTATCTCGTTATTTTATATTATGCATTAAACTAATTTCAAATATGTTGACTATTGGTATTGTTTGTATTACACATATAATTTGAGTACTGTTCGAGAGAGTGAGTTTTCCACGCGGAACACAGAAGAAAATATTCATCAATTTTGCTCTTTAATACATCGTAAGCTTAGAAAAAACAGATGGAGTTTATTTCTATTGTCATTGAACTTAGCTACAACTAGATGATCATGAAAATAAATCACGCGCGTTATTTCCTATGTGTGTACTTTAGTTTATGTGGTGGTTAAAGAAACTATTAAAATGTTGTTCGTGTAAGTTTTATAAATATTATTTAAATATCTATTTATTTACTTGATATAAATATTTATACGATAGATTATTTTCGGCCACGTAAATTGCCTGGAAATGTAATCGTTGAAATTTTTATCAATGATTTAATTGCATTGATTAAACAGAATAAAAATTTGAAATTAGATAATTTATTATGTGATCAAGCATTTAGAACTGCACAGCGATGTGCAAAAAAGAAACAGATTTCTCATACATCAGTAACTGATTTAAAGTATCAAGAGAAATTTCAAGCTGAGGTTAACAAAAGAAACAAATTTGATCAGTTGTTAATTTTGTTTGTATAGTATATTTTTCGTAGTGATCAACTAATGGATGCAAAAACAATGTATAATCTTCTTGAAAAACATATTAAAACCGAAAATGAATTGATTAATATTCGTCAATTAGGTATAGGAGGAGCTTCAACAAGTGATTTATCTATGAATTATTATGTACTTCGAATTTATCCAGTTCAAATATTGTAATGATCAACAGTTATTGAGATAAAAAGCCACCTAGACTCACACTAGCTAATAAAGACTGAAAATCATGTGAGAAAAGTATCTTTTTTACATGTGTTATTCTATATCAATTAATGTGGTATCATATATTAAGAATAACAAGAAAGAAAGAAAAGAGTCGACCACAAACACATGCATACCCCATCGATATAAAAACATTCGTAACTTTTACGTAAAAGAACGAAAAAAAAACACTATTGTGCTTGTTTTGATTTGTTGTTCGTACTTTCATTTTTCTCGTCGTCTTAAATGTATTGACGTGTGTACAAAATTGACTATGTATTAGTAAAATATTTTAATAGATAACCCTGGATAGATTTCATCAAATTATTCTGACTGATTCAGACATTCCAAGAATGTCGATTCTTTATTACACATTGAATAATGTTGTGTTCACTAATTTTGCTTTGTACTCAACGGCTTCCATCGCTAAAATGATGTGTATGGGTGCATTTACTCTAACGAAACGATTCTCTCAAGATGTAAAAATTTAATTTTATATTATAATGTAAATTTTCTTTTCTTATCATAGGCTTTCGCTAATCCTGAAGATTTAACATTAGCCAGACATCACTCATCTGTAGTTACAACTAATGATCCAGATGTTGAACGTGTTCGTCGTAATCATTTAAATGATATTGAAAATATAGTACCATTTGTACTTGTTGGCTTTTTCTATGTTGCTACTAATCCTAATCGAGATATAGCTTATTGGCATTTTCGAATCTTTTTTATTTCACGTCTTATACATACAGTTTGTTATCAAGTATAATTTGAATTATTATTATTTTCGTTTTTTCCTCTATATTATTTTATATATTCTATTTAGATGCCATTACCACAACCAGGTCGATTTCTTGCTTGTGCCGTTGGTTATCTTACAACACTTTCCATGGCTCTACAAGTTCTATTCTCTACTCGTCCATAAATGTGTAAAAAAGAAATAACACTTCCTATCAATTTGCAATATTATTCATGTTTTACTACGCACAATTATTATAAAATAAAAAAAATTAGCCTTTCAAAAACTATAATAACTTTATTCAAACCAGTTTATATAGAAAAGGTACTCGGAGAGATCAATAGAAAATTTATAAAATAATGGAAACGACCCAATATAGATTCATTGTAAGTTCATTCAGTACTCATTGAAGAGTTTATGATATATACAGACATATGTTCGTCTCTCTTTTATTCTAGCGATTTCATAGTCTTTTAAATGCACTAATCATTTTAAGTTTTGATATTTTAGTTAAAAGAGATTATAATATTCATAGCTATAGACATTTGATTAAAAATAGATCTTGCAAAACTTCATAGAGTAGACGATTGAATAATTAGAAAATATGACAATTCTTTGAAGTCTCCAAAGTTTATAAATATTCTTTTTTTATCCAAATGTTCACAGCATTTTATCTATCGGTTCATTAATTTATACTATTGTGGAAAAAGTTATTATTCATTTGACACTAGTTAATTGCAATATTGATGAGTTAATTAAAAAGATGAATGAAAATTTTTATATAATTATATTTCAATAGGTACTCATAAAACCTGAGTACATATTCTCTTTCATATCTTATACTATAAAAGTTCATAATCTATAAAGATATTGTTCTTATATCTTCACTATTTTATTCCAAATTATAATGTGATTTTACAGACAAATGTTAATAGATATATATATATATCGTTTTGTATTATATAATAAAGAATACAACGAAGTGAAAACGTATTAGTACTGAATAATAGCATGCGTTCATGAATACATGAGTGAGCATTGTCGGTATATTTTTATTTCCGTTAAAAAAATCTTCATTATCTGCATTCGTGCTAAAATTAGTCGTCTTCCAATTTATTTTATTATTATAATGCATATTTACATTCTTGTAATACAACATATTGAAGGAAATGATAGGAAATTCGCATCATTTTTTCATAATATTTTCTAGGTTGAATACATTGATAATCCATTAGAATTAGGTGAATAAGTAGAACATTTTGTTAATAGTTATTCAGTAATAATAGAAAATTATGATTTACATGAAAATATAAACTTCATTTTATAGAATATTTAAATTTTTATAGTTTAGAACATAAGAAATAGAATGGTAATATTATTCTTTTCCTTATAGAAAAAAAACGGGTAATTTTGAATATAAAAATATGAATTTTTTAACAATCTTTTCGTCAACTGGAGTCATCTATTTCGTAAAATTCTTTGTCTTTCGAGATATTTTTCAACCATTACACCTAAAATTGAGTCTTATGTTCTCACTCTCAAAAGGACAACAAATATAATCAAGTCTAAGTCCAATGTCTACTGTGTTACATCTATTTAATAATTTTCTAAATAATCCATTATATCATGCACCATTATCATTAATAAAAGGTTTAAGACAAGGAATTGTTTATGGTGGTAAAGTTCGCTTTGCTCATTCACTTGTTCAAGCATTTTTATTTCGTCATGAACCATGGTCCGAAAGAATACATTTTATTCTACAGATGACTTATTTACATGCAAAAAATTTAGGTTTATTTGTATTCTTTTATAAAACTCTTCGAAAAATAGTTGCATCCTGTTTTGGTATATCGAAATCATGGCGTGCATTTATTTGTGCATTTATTGTTGGTTATTTTGTCTTCGGTGAACGTAATAGTATCAACGAACAAATTATTTTCTATCTTCTAGCACGTATTGTTGTTGGTTTTGCACGTTATGCACAGAAACGTACATGGTTACCGAATACTAAACGACCTGTATTTCCATGGTTTGCTGCATTTGTATGGGGTGTTGTACTTTGGTTATTTGAATGCCATCGTGAAACATTACAACCATCATTAACACGTTCAATGGTTTATTTATATGAAAATTCGAATCGTTGGTCATCTTTAAATAATTTTCTTTTACGTGATATATCCGTATAGATTTTCAATCTTTTTATATTTTATTTCTAAGACAAAAATTAAATATTTGATTCTCTTAAATACAATTATTTTCTTGAAAAGATTACATAAAATGAATATATGTTAGATAAAATAAATGAAGTAAGATTTAGAGAATAGATATTATTAAATCGTATATTTTTATTACTCTTTGGTACGTTCATCTAACTCTGTGTTGTTGTTTAATAGCTTTATGTATTTCTTTCTCTTACAATCTATTATAATCTCGTGAGACAACTCTTGACAATATAAGTATACATAAGTCATTTTTATCTATTGTAAGCAGATGGAAAATAGAAATCTAAATAAAGATTATGATTCTAAGATCCCTTATTAACTGATTGTATATACTTTTAATGAATAGACTAAGAGTGTTATTTTAAAGTATGCTTTCAATTCAATTGTTTTTGTTATAACGTCATCAGTACTTATTATTACAACATTTTGTATTAACAACGAATTTAATATCTTACCTTTGTATTACTTGAAAATATATAGTTATCATATATGACTATATATTCACTTCAAATAGTTTTATATTAAGTAGAAAAGTTTAATTATCACGTTCATAGTCTTTATGCACTAAGTGACATATATATGTAACATACAATTTTTGAATAAAGGCGTGAATGTTTCGGCAAATAATAATAATATTTATATAAATATCTATGACTTTTCTATTTTTGTAAGTTTTCTTTAACTTATATGTTAAACGTATACTATATATAGAAATTGAATAACAGAATCAACTATATCATTTTGTATTCCAAAATAATTCATAAGGGTTTCTTTTTACATTCTCCCGACATTGTTGATCTATCTCATATGTTTTAAGTGTAAGTGAACCAATTATCACTAAAGAAAAGAAAATATTCTACTAAGAAATTTGTAATATTTAGTACGTAAAAGAAAAGGTTCTGTACCTGATGTGAATTTAATAATTAAATATGACATAAAGGAAAAACTTTTCTTTTTCTATTTTCTATATCAAATTAAAGTATCGTTTTTACTTAGTGTCCTATGACATATTACTCTAGTAATAGGATTTTCACAATATAGTCTTTTTTTGTTCGGAAAAACAAGATTTATTTTCACAAATAGATGTACTAACATTTCTCTTGATCTAGCTTAGCTATAGTTATAATTCAGTTTGAATTATGTAGATCAGAACAAAGAGAACTATAATAGGTTTCAGTTCATTTATTAGAATAATAATAATTACTTTCTTTTTTTTCATTAAATAGAAGTGTTGAAGAAATAGCTTCATTTAGACGAAACGAATAGTTTTCTTTAATAAACTCAATTCTTTTAGTTACAATTTAAGAAAAAATGAAGAGAAATAGTTAACGCTGATATTTAATTAATAAAAAGAAAGAAGTGTATTACCATAATTTAGTATGATATGTTTTCTCTTTCTCTTAATCTTATCTTTAATCAGTATTTTATATAAGAAGTATTAAATTGTTATTTTTAAGGCGTAGTACTATCTCATCTTTTTTTACTAATTCATCCCTAGGATTAGTTGTAGAAAAGTCCCACATATTGACTCTAATTTCGACTCCTACAGAGTCAGAGTCAGATTTCCTCCGTCCACTACATGTCTGTAGTTTTAGTTCTGGTTTAATTGCGGGAACATATAATTTACACAAGCTTATGTTTATTTGTCTTTTCGTAATTAATACTTCATAAATATTGTATTTTTCTCGCCCTTGTATATGTATGTATCCTACACATATAAAAACACAACAACAAAATGTCTGAGAATGAAATTGTCATATATTGAGCTTTGAAAAATATTTATTTAGTCCTGCCGTCCTGTAGGCCAACGGTAATGAACGCCTTTTTTTTTGTTTTTTCAAACAGAAGCAATATTTATTTGTTTTTGTCCAAAACAATCATAAATTCGCTGTTAATTGATTATTAGTGATATTTGCCGTTAGGTCCTTTTTTTGCGTTACTTTTATTTGCCTCTTACTATTTGAATATCTGAAAAGATCATTTATAAAAGTAAGAAGAAGGAAAGGAAGCTACTGAGACATAAAGAATAAGGGAAATAACCTTAAAGAGAATTTCAAGTGTTGCTTTTTTGTCAGCAAGTTAATCAAAAAAAAATCACTGTTCGCGTCAAGCAACATACTAAATCGCGGTGCGTCATCAAACTTCCGTTCTTCTTCTTTTTATTCTTCATCATAACCATTAGTAGTCGATAAATGAATATGAAGTTAAATGTAATAAGTAGACGAAATGATTTTCTATAGGAAATGAATTAGTTTATAATGATTTCTTTTGTATCATATAGAAATTTTTCATATAGAACAATAGAAAAAGACTAGACAATGAATCTTATTAGTTATCTGAATCTCATCATTACTCTATCATTTATTTATAATGTAAAAACTTGTTCTCTAATCACAAGGGACATAAATATATGAAGATATACTGATAGAATTTTTACACTTATTGAACTAAATTGGTAAGATACGTTAATTTTCTTATTTTCATTTATTTTATTTCTGTTGAAAATAAAAATACACACATCATAGACACACACAAAAAAAAATGATAATAAATACTATCGACCGCTGTGAAAGTAGGAGGCGTATTCATTTTCTAATGCGTGTTCTGTTACCAACTATATATACACCATCAGTTACGATTTACTAGTAGCATCGAGTTAGATATAAAAATAAGTCATACGACACCATCCGATAATCTATGTAAAAAAGATTCAAATGTTTTTTAATTTCATATCGTTCTTTTTTTTGCAAATAAAGGTAATATTAGTCCTTTGAAATTATATGTATATATAGACATGTTATTTTTCTAATATGTATATATACATGTATTCGATCGGAAAAGAAATTTCTCTTCGATTATGAAGTGCAATTGACTAGTGCCGATTGTTTTTCTTTTATATAGATGTTTACAAATATATATATATATATATATGATGAATACACATCTAATTGTCATTGTTATATACAAAATATTTGCTCGTTTAGAAACGATCAATAGTTAGCAAAAAAACTTCTTTAAATATGCGGAAGTGCCTGTATTGAAGAGATAGGAGAAGAGAAAGAAACAACGATGAGCGTGTGTCACCCATCAATTTGTTGTACTTGTGGAAATTGGTCTATGAAATTAATTAATGTATATCACATGGTATATATAAATTCTTTTTATAAAAAAGCAACTAATGTTCTACTTCTTCATCTTTTTTTTCTGCTCATAAAAGTAATATATTATAGCAAGGTTGTCTCTGTCTATTTAAACAAAAATATATAGATTCTATATGAGGTATTGAAAGAGCAGAATAGAGTGGTTCTTCTTTTCTGTAAGTTAGTCATCAAGTAAAAAGAAAGAAAGAAAGAAAGATACTCGCTACGCTCTTTTGCTTTGATTCTTCTCTTTACGCTCTTTTCATTTTTATTTTTCTAGTCTTTTAACTAATCCGCTTGTATTTCATGTTCAACTTGATTATTATTTTTAATGACATCTTTAGTGATATTTGACATTTGTAAAAATCTATCATTATTTATTATAGATGATCATTATAAAGACAATAATTGTCCTACAATATTCAAGCCAAGGTATGTCTTAAACAATTAAATAAAGAGAATCAATGTTTTTCATTCTATATATAATGAATTTATATGTCATAGATTATTAATGAAGTTAGAAATCAGATAAGATATACATAAGTAGTATGGTGGATTTTTTATCTTTGATGACAGAAGAACATTTTGATAAGTGAAATATATTTTATCTTCTATAATAATAATAACTCTACTATCAATTTATATTGAGTATGAATAGATGTATATATATATATATATTACATTTTTTACTTGACTTTTTCCAGGAAGAGTATCATTGATCAAGATGCATACTATTAATAGATGACAATGATGATGATGAAAGAGAAGCGACGGCGGCAGCGGCAGCAGCAGCAGAAAACAATCATCATCATAATCATCAGTTGGACAATCATTTGCTGTTATATGCAATCGATCTTGTTATGACTAGAGGGTAGAGATATACACATGCAAGGAAAATATTGACATGCACGATTTGATTGCTAGAATACTGATCCGAATGGAATCGTGTTTGTATTAATTCCAAACGACAAGTCACGAGGTTAACCTTGAGTATATGCTATCGATACCACATGTGCGATATGAAAGAAATAGAGCAAGCAGGCGCCGAAAAAAGAGCTTAATAGCAAATGTTGATAGACCATTACTGATCTCATTTGTAGTTCTTACCATGATCAATCGGAAAGGCCAACAACGATGGATGAAATTAAAGCATTGCATTATCGCGATTGTTGACTCAGTTACTTTCTACCACATGCATATATATACACACTATTAAAGATGTTAGTCATTTTCAAAATATTTACATTTAATCTAGCACAACGGAAATAAGATCATTTTCGATAGATTGTCAATAATATAAAAAAAATAAAACGAGAACAACTTTACTTAAACTTTAGCAAGCTTAACTACATATTAAGTATTATTTGATCAGATATTTTTATTATATATATAGTACTTAATTTTTTTTTGAAGTCGAATTTTTAATTTTTTTTCTTATGACTTACATGTATGTACGAATATTTTATATCATATTGAAAAGAAAAAAGGCCAGGGGACAACAAACAATGTACTCCTAGTTGTTGTGTATTGTTATTATATTATTCAATGGGACAAAGTGCAACAATTGAATTTAGTTTCTCTTCTATTATTGCTATAGAATCGATAAGTTACTTCTATTCTATACACAGAGATATTCGTTATAGTAGATAATATAATTTTATATAAATATATATATATTTATATATATGTAAGTGATGACAAAATAGTTAGTATGCATGTGCAGTTAGTAAAAAAAAAAGAATGCCTAGAGACAAAGAGCATACATAAAACAGAAGAGAAAAGAAGTGCCAACTAGCAAACGGCACTTGATTATCTATTGGAATAAAACTAGGCGCGTTCAATCATCTTTTTTTTATTCTTCTTTTCTTGTCTTGGAGATCATTGGAATATTGAAACGCTTCCCTGACTCTTTCGTATCCTTTCCCTGGTAAAACTTGATCAACATATACTACAAGACACATTTGTATATGTTCCCTTTTTTCTCTCTCTCCCTCTCCCTCTCCCTCTTTCTCTATTTTCCTCTGCTGTGCGCTCGATTGAAGAATAGAAAACAACCCCTTCTGAGAAGAACACGCAGACTCAATTATGATCCGCTTTAATATATACATACTTAGGTACTCATCTATTAAGAAAATGAACAAATATTGATCACCTGTTCTCGACTTTGCTAGGAAATTATAAACACTTGTTAAGTTTCATTTATTTAGTTTTACTTAATTATGTGGTTTATTTTTTGATCTAATGTAAAAAAAAAAAAGAAAAGGAGAGACTAATGATTGACACAATACAGTAAACATCCACTTGAGGCAATTTTTTGCATGTGTTATCCTGGTGATCGTATTGATAGCTCATCTCATACTGTGATCAATGACAGTGTGGCATTCGATTTTGCTTTCTACTATGTTGTTGTTATTATCGAGTTGCATCTATATCTGTGCCAGCAGTGTTAACCTTTCTTTTTTTAGAAGATCTCTGATCATTAGCTATATCTGTATATTTTATTGATAAATAAAAAAAACAAAAATGGTATGTGATTAAAATTGATTTTTATTTCAGATATTTGGTTTTATTCAAATATGAACAAAGGCAAGACCAATTAAGTTACCGCACGCTATGACGCATGCCGTCAAATTTTTGATGGTCTTTTTATCTTTTTTATTGTTGTCATCATCATTATCAATACGATTTGTGTCAAAAATCCAATGCAATTTTCCACCAAGTTAATAATTCATGACCTTTTCCTTAGTTCAACTAGTTCAACAATCAATACAATTATACAGTCAAATAATAATAATCGTTCAAATTATACTAGCAATAATATTTCATCAATAGAACAATCTCAAAAAAATACTCAATTAACGAATTTACCATTGGGTATTTTTTTAAGTTTATTTTGTTTTATTACCGTTTTTGGTAATGGTCTTGTTATATATGCTATTGTTCAAGAACGTTATCTAAAATCAGGTACATATACACTTATATATTATAATCAATATAAAAATATGAAAGCTTATATATATATATATATATATGTCATTAAAAGTATTTCACGAAGTGGAACAAGTTTTGTATACTCTATTTAATTAGTATAGAAAAGCTACTTTTTTTTTACCTTGGAATTGAATATAGGAATAAATCATGCACTCGGTTACATTTTCCATCTTAATGCTTTTGTTTTTAAGAACTGTAAAAAAATAACCACTAGAGATTTCATAGGATATTCTATAACACTTACATATCAATTATTACATTTTTATTCTCTCGTGAGAAAACATTCGATTTTTCTTTTGAGTTGTTGATTAATAATTAGTCTACTAATAAGTTATTTATTATCTGACTAAACTAATTTCAATGCTTATCTACTTTTCATTCAGTTTTATCAAACTCAAACTCATATCTAATTCAGACTTAAGTTTAAGACAAACATTACTATATAGTATTATAGTACTCACTTATCTGATCTCAGTATGTATTTATTATTTTTAGCTACATATTATTATATGGCATCATTAGCATGTGCTGATTTAATTGTTGGCTTAATTGTAATGCCATTTGCTATTGTACAAGTTATATATGGTGATCATTGGCCATTTGGCGATACATGTTGTGATCTTTGGCATTCAATAGATGTATGTGCTAGTACAGCTTCAATACTTGATTTATGTGTTATTGCATTGGATCGTTATTCTGCAATAACAAATCCAATGTCATATCATCAAACATTTTTTGTTAAACGATGGCCTTATTCACTTGTTGCTGTTTGGTTATGTTCAGGTAAGAATTTTTTTATTTTTTATTCAAAAAAAGACAACAAACAAATAGAATAAGACAGAAAACAACATATTTTTTATTGTTCATTTATTTTTAGGTTTAATCTCATTTCCTGCTATAGCTTATTGGCATCTTAATCCACAGCAGTATAAAGAAAATCGTTGTCTTTTTTCCGATGATATAAAATATGTTGTATTTTCATCGTTAATTTCATTTTATATTCCTTTATTTGTCATGATTTTTGTTTATATAAGAATCTATCGTGCTGCTGTTAAACAATTACATGCATTTAAAACCGGAGTTAAAGTTGCCTCACCAACAACAAAAAAGAAAAAAAAAGGTTTAAAAGATGATGATACACCATTAAGTGCTCCACCAGATGTATGTTTACGTATACATCGTGGTAAATATCATGGTATACCACCATCATCAACACGTGAATCATCATCAACAATGAATCCTTCGGAACCAATACGTTTATCAAATCCAGAGGAACGTTTAACATTATCAGCGAATGATAAATCTACTATTCAAATGAAAAAATCTATAAGTGGAGTATATTTAACTGATCATCAAAATTCTTCCTTATCACGTTTTTCAATGCCAACATTAACAGCACCATCAACATCAACAACATTAACAACGACAACAACACTCGATACTCATCAATTAACAATTACAAATTCGAAAAAAATTCCATCACAAGATACATTATCAACATATGAAGCATCATCAGCACGTACATCTAAAGTAAATCCACCAGTAGCAGCAACAGGCACATCAATTGGTAAACGTTTAACAAAATTTTCTAAAGAACAAAAAGCAACAATAACATTAGCTTATGTTATGGGAATATTTGTTCTATGTTGGTTACCATTTTTTGTTTATAATCCATTAACAGCAATTGCGAAAAAAATTATTCCACCAGATAAACATTCAACGAAAACATTTTTAACTGGAAGTGCTCTTGTTTTCGAAATGTTCACTTGGTTTGGATATATTAATTCAAGGTATTAAAAGAATAATAGTAAATCATTCTAGACATTCCTCTTTTTCATCTTCTTTTTAGCGTCAATCCAATTATATATGCTTATTCATCACGTGAATTTCGTCGAGCATTTATTAAATATTTATGTCGATGTTTTCCAATGCGTATACGTAATTTAATGATGTCTTATCATAATTTACATTTATTACGTTATCGTCGTGCACCAGAATCAAATATTTCAAAAGAAAATCATGAATCTGGTTCAGATAATAATAATCATAATAATAATCATTATAATTCAAATAAACAACATATGGTAACATCACCATCAACAATGGTATTAACAAATATACAAAATAAAAATCAACAACGACCTTATAAACATGCAAAAGATGTTCATACTAATGCTAAAACAAAACATTCACGTATCTGGTTTTTAACAAATTGTTGTAAAATAACTACTGTTCAACAACAAGAACGAAATGATAAACGTTCATCATCTACTACATCCTCCAAAACTGCAGCAGCGAATAATACTACACTTGTTGATTATTGTACTTATCACGATGTTGCCATTTCTCGGGTGACATGTGTCTGATAAAATATTTTTCTCCGTGTTTGTTTTTCTCTCTCTCTTTCATTTAATGTATTGTAGCAAGATTTTACAAATCCCGAGTGTCATTTGTTTCTTATATATATACATATTATTTTTTACCCTTCGCCTATGTATGATATATGATAATTTGTGAAAAGAAAAAAAAACAATAACAGAGATATGTTATTTATACATTGAATATTTTTATTTCTTTAAAGACACGAAGAAAAAAAAACAACATGATTTACTAATAATGAATATTAAATGATGATTAGAAAGTTAGATCTCCATTCTGTCAATATTCATTTGAATAATAGCAACAACAATTGAGCTGTTTAGCTTGACTGATATATTTTTTCTGGTTTTATAAATGCATGTCTAAAAGAAATATGTCACGTCAGATTTTGTTCGCTTCGTTGTGCACGTTTCTTTATGTGAGAAAAGAAAAAAAAACAGAAGCAAATAATTGATTAATAAAGAAAAAAAGAAATTTTTGTTTTACTTGGAAAATTAGCTCAAGTTCAGATTGTCGATATTGTGTTGATGTTAAAGATTTGATAGATGAACGAGATTTTATCTGATTTATATCATTCGTTGATGTAGTTCTTTTTCCGATAATAGCATCTAATTCATTTGGAAGCATTATAATTGTTTCTTTATTATTTGATTCTACAGATTTGTTTAAAGGTGTTTTAGAACAATTATCTAATCGTAAATAAGATACTGTTTCATTTGTTGTTCGTACTGGTGTTACGATATTTGTTAAATTCGATGTTGATCCAATTAGCCGACGACCTGAACGTCGACCATTTGAACCAGGTTCAATATTAAGATGTTGTTTTGCTCGTGTAAATAATGGATTTTCTCGTAACTAAATTAATATATTATAAATGAATCTTTTCTCATATCAACTAACTTACTTCACATAAAATTCGACTATCAGATAAATTACTTGATATTGTTGATGTACCTGTACTACAGCGTTTATCAGAATTATTTATTTCGCGTGGTAATGTCATAGTTGTTGACGATATATGTTGAGGAATAGATGAGCGATTGTTTGATGGTTGTATTGGACGAAAACCACCAGCAGGTAATCTAATATAGAATGAAATAATAAAATTAAGATAGAGGTAATATATAAAAATTAGTATAATTCATATTGAGAAACTATTTATAATCGAATGTTCTTGTCAACATGGATATACTTGGGGCGTATTGACACAGAAATAAACAATAAATATAGAAAACGGATTATAGTAGGTCATATCATGATTATTTATATATACTCTCAAGGAAATCATGTTTTATCTCATTATTTCAAGCACGTGATAGGTCAAGACAACTATTGGAATATTCTTCACTACATTTACAGATATTAAAAACCTAAAAATCAGCTTAAGTTCATGAAATTTTCTTAGCCTTCGTCTAAAATCAATATTAATAAACAATTTGTTAAGAATGATATACTCACGGTGGTGGTGGTGGAGGGATTGAAGATGAATTAATAACTGGTATATCATTTGGTTCATCGTAGAGATTTGATTGAATATTATTTTCCGACATATGTTCTGGTGGTGGATCGTAACTTATATGATCAGTCGTATTATTTGAATATGATTCTTGTTGTTGCTTACGGAAACGTGTTGATAAATGGTCATTTAGTTGATTTATAACGCACACGTTCATTTGTTTGCTTGATAAAGTCATGTCTGTTAATTTTTCATTTGTTGATGATGATGATGTTGATGAACGTAATCCAATACGTGTATGCATTGGATGTATTATAATAGAATGATTAGCAATTGGATTTGTTGATACACTTGTTAGAGAAGTTCGTTTTTTATATTCATTATAAATTTTTGATGATGATGAATGATGTTCATATTCATTATCAAGACCAGTTGATGTTGCCGGAGATGATGATGATAAACAATCTTGAATTTGTTCATCTGTAACTGATGGTTTTGCACAGAGTGTTGTAATTTCAGTTTCATGATTATTAATTTGTGTGAGAGAACTATAAGTTGAAGATGAATGTGATTGAGATATTTTTCGTAAGTTATCATCTTTAGATATATGAAAATAATGAGGTTTTAATGGAATTTCTTGAGAAGTTTGTATTAATTCTAAATGGAAATTATTTGTAAATGTTTGAAATAAAATAATTTACCTGTTGATTTTATTTCTTCTTCATCTTTAAGAATAAGTTTATGATCAGATGATAATTTATCAGCAATAGTACGACAGCGAAATGTGAATTTCTTTTGATTATTATTTAAATTAGGTAGTGGTGGTGGTTTAGGTGGTGTTAATGTTTGTTCGTCACTATTAGTTGTTGATGTTTGTGGAATAATAAATGAGGATGAAACACCAAGATCAGAATTAGTCGATGATTTGTTATCGATTTCACATTCGAGATTCGGTTTTGAATCGTTATAATCAATAGCTGGTTCTTCATCGATTCTGTGTTCACTCTGAATTGTTCGTATAATAAAGTCTTCACTGTGTTCATCATAATCGGGTGTTGGTTCTTCAATAGGAAAATTTTCAAAATTGAAATTACTTATTTTAACTCTTGGAATAAGATGTTGATATGAATTTCGTTGAGATTTTTTATTCCAAGTTGTACAAATATTAAATGAATGTGAACGAGTCATAAGTAAATGATTTTTTGTTTGTTTCCGATCACCAAAAACAAAATTTCGATCAAGTGAATGCATTAATTCAGTACTCATAGCTGCTTGCATACGATGAGCAAGTGCGTCATTGTGTTTTATCGGTTGTTCATGATGATGATGATGATAATGATTTCTTATTTCTCGAGATTTTTTTCTATTTGTATTGAAACAATAATCAGTTTCATGTATAGGTTTCAATGATTGTCGACGACGATTGTTTATTAACGAGCGATTTACTTGAGATGATGAAAGAAATGTTCTTTTGTCTTGAATAATTGGATCTTTTTGTTGTAGAAAATTGTTTGTTGGCGATGGTCCGACGATATCACTATAACGTTTTGGTATTCGTCGTCGAGTATATTGATAATGAGGATGAGGAGATAATGGAGGTTGAAAATAATAACGAGAAGACTTTTTAGGTAATGAATCACAATCATCATCATCATCATCATCACTATCACTATCACTCCTAAAAATTAATATCAGTGAACAATATGCATATATAATTTTTTTTTATTTATTCAAAAATATCGAACAAAAGTTTTTCTAAGTTATGATTAGTGGTTTACACACTTATCGTAAGTAGTTTCCGTACTAGACAGACTAATCTACAAGTATAATTAGAGAAACTCCTATTTGCATATATTATTTGTAATGTTGATAGTACTCATGATATACAATAGTTTAAATATACTCCATATAAAATAAGCTTTCAATATAGGAGAAAGTGACTGATAGTTTTCTTTTGATCTATACTACGATTTATAAAAAGAACGGGTTTACATTCATAATTAAATTCAAATAGAATAAAAATAGGCAGAAAACGAATGTCTATTTCATCTTTCAACTTAACTATAATATCTAATCAACTACTTTTTCAATGAATAACAACAACTATATTTTATATAATCGGCTAAAACAGTGCATTTTGAGAAATACACTACTTTGTAACAATGGGGAATATCAACATATTAAGTTCCGCAATATATCAATAAAACGTTATCAAAAATAATAAATTTATAAAAATCTTACCTTTTTTCAAAAATACTTGATCCTTCTCTACATAAACAAAAATCATAACTAAATTTATGTTTTTGCTGTTGAAAACAAGAATTCAATGCATCAATACTTATACAACGTGAAATAAACCACATATTAATAATAAAAGTAATAGACGAATATTCGTTTTGTATGTTGTCGTTCAATCGACTATATTCAATTTTTTCAAATACGACAAGTACAATCAATGATGTTGAATCAATCAGAATAAACATGTTCAAAGACGAGACATATAATATTGTTAACGCGTCTATCTCACCTTCTTTCGTTTTGTTTTATTTTACCTTGACACACTAGTAATAATAATATATTCACAAAACGAAATTGCGTGATAATTAATCAATAGTTGAATGACTATTTGAACGTGATTAAACGATAGTTTTGTTCGATTGTATGAATATAATCTTAATCCTTTCTTTTTTTCGATCAATAATCTTACTTTGTATGTTCTATATTTTTTTTACTTTCTTTTCGAATACAATGTCATTTGCTCGACTTACAAGCTTTACATCGTCAATCTATTTTAGTTTTATTCGAAACGTTCAAATACAAACATTCGACAAAAAGAAAACAACATACCAACGATATGACATTAACATCGGAACAAATTGTGGGAGTGTTATAGGTAATCGTGCTAAACGATTTAAAGAATGTCAATAGAAAAAAATGATTATGATAAATACTTACGAAACCGCATCATATATCAATAAGAATAACTCATATTAACATAGAAAGATTTCTCATGGTTAAACAAATCGAATGAACATTGACATTACACCATTATTAAAAGTAGGGAAATCTTCTAAACTTACTAAATCAATTCATCTTTCAATATCTCAGCTGTGACACTAGAATAATATCCATATTTTATATCTTCTCTTTTTTTCTTACATAATATTTAACAAAAAAAAGAATGTTTCACTTTATTCAATGCCACAAACTGTTACGTATATAGATATTATTTATTTCTTTATTAATGTAAACAAAATATTTTTCACCAATCTGACTTAATGTCAAAAAAGAAAAAGCTCCATCGTTGTTGAAAACAATTATCAATATCTTTAAATTTCGTTGCTATTGTTTCGTTAGATAAACTTTGACATAATGATGATTTTATTGGTACTGAACAGAAATTTGATATAGTCCAAAAATGTTTTATAATTGTTAAATATTGATTATTTAAGAATTGTTCGACATTAGATAATAAGACAAGAAAATTTAATGAAGCTAAAACATCTTCTTGATTTTCTTTTACAATTGACATTTGCCATATGCCAATAAGATTTGGTGATGATTCCGCAGGAAAAAATATATCAATTATAACAGGTTCATTCGATGGCACAAGTTTTACTCGTTGAAGAATAGCACCTAATAAATTATTAATAAAAAACAAATAATTTAGTAAATCAACATACCATTAGGATTATGAATAACTAATGATGTATCATTATCGGTCATATTTTGCCATTCAATAAGAGCTTTAATTACTTTTGGCTCAACAAATGTTCGACTACGATCAATAAAAATAATTTCTTTACTATCTAATTCTAAACCAACCTAAAAATTAAAAATAGAATTAATATTTTATTTGTAGAAAAAAAACTGACTTCAAATCTTTTAATTTGGTTTGAATGTTGAGCAGTAAGTGAATTTAATTTAATAAATAATTCAAATTGTTCTCCATCATTAAATTTATATTGTAATGAATAACCTTGAAATATACTCAAGTGAAATATAAAATGAATTTGTTCTAAATGAAATCTATCATCACGAAAACAATTACGTCGATATTGTTGATAATCAGTTAATAGTGTACGTGCATATAAATCAATTAATTTTAATGCATTAGTCAAATTATTTGTATCATCATTGAAATGATATATATTTTGTAAATATAAAGCACCTAAAATAATTTTATTATTTATTTTTATTCGAATGAATAATTCAAGATTTTACTGTTAGATAAATCTCGTCTTGAGATTTTTTCATCGAGCCAATCAATAATTGTTTCATCGATACTTGCATCAAATTTTCGAGCAAAAAATATTGGTTTATCAATCGTGTCCTAAGAACAAAACAAAAGTTACAGAATATTAGGGTGTAGATGTGGGTATAAATATATGTATTCTCTGATACCCACACCTAGCGTACGGGACATGATGATGATGAATATCATTATCTCAGTGGCGGATCTAGAATTTTAGATGGGCGATACCTGAGTAGGGGGGAGGGGCGATTTCGGCTAAAAACTATTTTTCGAGTCCAATCGAAGTAGTGTGAACCTATTTTTGCTGTAAAAAATCAAAAAAATTTTGTGAAGGGAGGCGACCGCTCTCATTGCTCGCCCCTAAATCCGTCACTGCATTATCTATGTCGTGGAAAGCTACAAAATCTTACTAATAATTCAAATAAAAAGATGATTCGAATAACTTTATCAAATACTCAATGAGAAAATTTTACTATGATAGCAATTCTCCAAAGTTTTCTATTGAAACCAAATTATTTTATTAAGATTATCTTACATTCAATATTGTTTTATCGATACTTCTGTATACAAGTGGTGAGCAACCACACCAATCGACAACATGTTTATGTTGACATTTACATCCACGTTGTCGGTTCCAATGTACACGACGTAAATTATTTCGAATATATGTATCACAATAAATACTATTACTTAACAAAGTATGAAAAAAAGTCTAAAAGAATAGAAATTATTTTGATTTATTTTTTATATTAATAAACAAACCTCGCATGGTAATAATGAATAATTAAATATATGTCGTAATCCATTGATTAATTCATCATTACCGTAAGTTATATAATGTACAAATTCACGATTTAATACATACCAATCAGATCCACCATCATAGACAATATCTAAATTAACATATAAATATTTATTTTCATAACAATAAATATCTATACTTTGAATTAAAGATCTTGATCCAATTCTATACATATAATTATTACAATGAATAAATGTATGAAACATTCCTTGAGATTTAATAAATCTTTAATTATAAAAATATACTAATAAAAAGAATGATAAATAATAAACATACTTAAATGGTTCACGATTATGAGTACGAAGAAAATTATATGATGTATACATTGAAAGAAAATTTGTTAAAACTTGAATAGGTCTATTAGATAATACAAAATATAGTTAGATCTATTTGTCAATATTTAACATACTTAAGTGGAAAATCACTTTCGCTTAAATTAAGTATAAAAGTAAAATTCCATTTTAATTCATCAAATATTTGTTTAAATGCTTCTAAATGAGCTGTTAATAATGTTGATGCACCCCATGTAGTTGGATAACGTCTATTAGTTACATGAATATTTGAAATATTTTCTGAAAGTTTAATTAATTCTTGATGTAAATATTTTTCACGCTGTACTAACACAAAATAAATTAGATTCTATATACACAAAAGAAAACTAAATAGTTTCAATACATACGCTATCAACATGTATTAAATAATAGTGCTGTTGTAAATAAATAGTACGTATTAAACGTTTGATTTGTCGAAGATTTCTCCGTCCACCAACTGTGAGAAAAAAGATAATAATTGTTTCATTACTATTTTGTATATGACGACGTTTTTCAAGATGATTTCCAAAATCAATATAACCAGTTCGATAAAGTGTAACAAGACTTTTTCTTGAATTATTATTTGCAATACTAATATCACTACATTTACGATCAGATGTTATTAAACGACGTTGATTATCAAATGTTGATAAACAAGAACATTGATTGGTAAATTCATTATACTCTATAAAAACACAAGAGGTTAGGAAATAGTATCTTAGATATGTATGTACTGAAATATACGATAAAATGTTATTGTTAAAATTATCTCAGTATTCGAGTATAAAAAACGAACAGCAATAATACAAAAGAAGAGTTTTGAGTAGTATTTTGGTTAGACATGACCCAAACCCAAGCTCAAATTCAAACCGTTTGGGAGTTTGAGTTTGGGTTTGGGTCATGTCTAATATTGGTTAGAACCAGTTTTTCTCTGATCACTTGTAATTGACAAGGACTTCATATATGTCTGAATTTTTATTGATCCGCATCGTTTGTTAACGTGATAGTGCAATCGAAAAAAAAATACTTAGGATTATATCCAGGGGATTAATAGCTGGCACCCACCACCTTAGCACCTGCTCAGCACCTCTGCCAAGGAAGTAAGAGCTGAAAACGAGCACCGAAAAACGCCGAACAGGTGCTGAGGTGCTGGGTGCCAGCTCTTACCCCCTTGATTATATCTCATTTCTGTTATGAAAAAAACTATTTAGACATTACCAGCAAATGAAACACTAAGTTTCAAACAGTGATCTATACACATAATATCAGTATTAAACACTTGTAATTTGTTTGTGCCATATGTTGAATTATCATCATTTGAAATACAACCAATTATATCACCAAAATTACCTTCTATAAAAGAATGAAAGATCAATTGTAAATAAATAACGAAAATTTATTTAATTTTACTTCGAATGGGACAAAAACGTGGTAATGATGTTGGAAAAAAATTTGGTGTAGAATCAATTTGGCAAGAAATATTTTTTATCTTTTCTTTGCAATAATCGCTAGGTGCTTGATTAATTGCACGTATTGTATCATTTTTTAATTCACAGATGAAATTGATAGAAGTAGACTAAACAAAATCGAATCAAATTATTTGTTATAATATATAATACAAAAGTAATGGGACAAGTATTAGAATCGATTTCTGGCTAAATCGTCTAGGCAAACTAAAAAATGATTGTTGAGTTTCGTATAGATAATATTCGTTATAATTGTTACGGGTACTGTTTATCAAGACTAATATTTTATACGTCCCGAATAGAAGATTAATTATTATCTGTAAGATTTTTCGCGTCTAATCAGCTGCTATTAGAAAAATGCGAAATAATTTTAAAGGATCCTGTCGTTTCTATTATATCGATTAGTACTTAATAATAAATAGTTATATTACTTGTGTATCATATGTTATTTTTGAAGATAATGATGATGAATTTATATAATTTGTTGTCAATGTATAATATTCAACACGTGTATAGAGAAGAATAGTTGTTAACATAAATATCACTATTGGAAAGATAATAGATCGTCGAGAACGAAATCGCCGTTGATAGGGACGTATAATCCACCTGATCATGGATCATCTAAGAGATAATAAATAAACAAAATAGTAAGACCGTTTTTTTGTCGTTAAAAGTAAAATAACATAATTAACATCAATATAAATTTACCAATCAAGTATATCTTGAAAAAGAACTGACGTATACACTCATTAATCTACCCGTGATTGACACTTATGATAATGAATGAATATTTTTGAATTAGTTTTCAGTAGTCAAAAAGAAATAAATATGAAAAAGAACAGATGGAGAAAGGTGGGATGAAACAAAGAAAAAGAAATGCAATCAATCGTTCTATCAAGTATACCTTATGCTTCATCTCTTTTCTTTCCTGTGAAAAAAAAGAAACTTAATCGACATCGATGTGTTTATCGACTAGTATAATCACCATGTCATGTTCTACATCAAATTTCGAAAATTTTTGCATATGTTAGCCTATGCAAACATGTTTTACTTACATATTCATTCTCACTCTTCTATTGTATGTTATATCATACAAATTACTATTATCATTATTCAAACGATAAGAATGAATTGTAAATAATTCTATGATTAAAATCTAGAATATTTAAATAAACAGTGTATTAAATGATCATAACAAATTCTCGATTTATTTACTTACATGTCTAATTTTACGATATAAATATCGAATAAAAATTATGTTTATTAAGAATCCTTTTCATAAATTATTTTTAAAGATTCGCTTTTATGTATTTTAACGAGTTAAATTTCAAAAAAGTCAGGTATAATTTAGTTTTGTAAGCTTTTATTATTGATGTTTATTACAAGTACATACAACACAAACTTTTTTGCTACAGTTTAAGTTTAATAAAACAAAAAGTATTTTTAAAAGTTTATATAATATGTCACAATAACTTGAGTTGAATATACTCAACTATTGGTATAATGCAGACATAGTATCATCCACATAAGACGAATGCACAACCAAATTTTATTCAGTGAGTGATACCAATAGACAGCTGATGGTCGAAACTTGAAAGTTTGTGCTACAAGAAATTATTCCGATAATGTTGTTATTGTTTTCAATTGATATAGCAAAATATAATCCATATGATTTTCCGATATTTGATTTGAATACGCAACTATTTTCAAGTACATATAGGTTTGTATTCATTTCAAGACATACTGCTATCCAATATCTAAAAGATCATAACTCAAAACTAGTACGTGTCAATTACATTTTTAATCAAGTTGCTATATAAAAAAAACCTTCAGTCAAATTTTCTATTGAAAGATGTTATAATGTATATTTGTTCTTTCTTTTATATTTATTCAGTAAATAATAGTTAATTGAGACACAATGTACTCTTCGCAGAAATAACATCAATTTCATATCTTTATATATTATTTCATCTTTTATTTATTACGCAGTGAACAATTTAACATTTCTCCATTTGAATCTTAGCAGAATATGAAGAGTTTAAATGTACTACTCAATGATATTCATTCTTCTATTCTTAAAAAATATTCTTATTATTTTTTCTGAAGAAAAAAACTCAATAAATTGAGTCTCATACTGAGCTAATACAAAAGATCCTCTCAGTAATAGTCGAGAAATCAAGGTAGATATAATCATCGACTCAATTATATTTTCTAATAGATAAAGAGTAGAATCGAACTACTAACCAAACAATTTCAAAATTTTCATTGTTACCATTGAACTATTTTTTCATTTTAGTACATACGTAAAAATTCCATATTCTAGTTTATTGATTATATTTAAACGTTTACTATCATTATTTTTAACTATTTCATAGTTCGATTTCTCTCATTATTGACAATTGGAAATAATAGAAAAATCTTGACTAGCTAATATTACGTATTTATGTTAGTCGTGTTATTATAAAATATTACCATCAGTTAGATTTATTTTTTTGGATGGGTTATCACATGATGAAGTATAATTTTATGGAAGAAGTATTGTTCAATGTAATGAATATATAGTTTTCAACCAGTATAATACATCAACGGACTATATAATTATGATTAAATTTATATAAAACCAATATGAATTTTCTAATGATCATTTGATATAATGCTTATGCTTCTGTTTAAAGACAAAATAAAATTGATTATGATGTTAGAATTTCGAATTTTACTTTTTTTTTCATTTTGAAAAAATTTCAAATGAAAAATTTCTTATCATAACGACAATTGTTATTAAAAAAACTAAGAATAATCCAAAACGATTTTAATTAATTATTTTTATATGTTTTCGAAATTTGAATAATCGGTCTATTGATTTTTGAAGATGTCGGTAACTATAGAATCCTTCAACCAATCAAAATCCATTTATTTGATGTCTATAAAAAACAAAAACAAAAAAGAAGGTCATAGTGTGTTAAAATAATGCATTTAGCGCCACTTGTATCGACACCTGTTCTAAAAATTCTATTAACTTAGAGATAGAACAAACATTTGCATCGTCGCATTTGAGAACTATCGTTCTTATATCTTTTCTTTTTATTTATATTCGTATTATCTTTATATATATATCATTCATTTGTTTTTAGACCAACTAGTCGATTCATTCTTCTTTTTTTTTTGTCTTCTTTTACTCATTCTTAAAAAAAATGGATGAAGAATATGATGTTATTCTATTAGGAACAGGTTTAAAGGTATAGAAGAAATAAAATTGTTGATTTCGTTTTTTACGAATTTTATATAGGAATGTGTATTGGCTGGTTTACTTGGTGTAGCCGGCAAGAAAATTTTACATATGGATCGTAATAAATATTATGGTGGTGAATCCGCATCTATGACACCATTGGAAGATGTAAATAAAAATAGAATTTTTTTTGTCTGAAGTTCTTATTTTTCTTTTTTTAAATTTTAAGCTTTATGCAAAATTTAATTTACCACCACCACCATCGGATACTGGACGTGGTCGAGATTGGAATGTTGATTTAATTCCAAAATTTCTTATGGCTAATGGTATAATATAATATAATAAAAATGATTATTATCTTTATTGATTTATTTTATAGGTCTCTTGGTAAAATTATTAATTCATACAGGTGTTACACGTTATCTTGAGTTTAAATGTATCGAGGGGAGCTATGTTTATAAAGGCCAAAAAATTCATAAAGTACCGGCTGATGAACGTGAAGCACTTGCATCTTGTAAGTTTTATATATAATGAAAGAAATTATGTTACATTTTATTTGTAGCATTAATGGGTCTTTTTGAAAAACGTCGTTTTCGTAATTTACTTGTATGGGTTAATGAATATGATGAAAACGATCCAAAAACATATAAAGATATACCACCAAATACACGTATGATTGATGCATTTAAAAAATTTGGTCTCGATCAAGATACAATTGATTTTACTGGTCATGCATTAGCACTTCATAGTGATGACGAGTATGTTAATAGGATAAATAGAATATGATTTTAATGCAAAAATTTTCGTTTAGTTATTTGGAAAAACCAGCTCTTGAATCCATCAAGCGAATTAAATTATATAGTGAATCATTGGCACGTTATGGTAAATCACCTTATCTTTATCCACTTTATGGTCTTGGTGAATTACCACAAGGTTTCGCACGGTAAATGATAATAGGAAAAGATTTAAAAGGATATCATACTGTTTTTGATAAGATTACTCATCAAGATCTTATGAAATATGAAATTAATCATCAGCGAAGATCTATTTTTCATTTAACTAGACTAAATTTTCTATTACAGTGATTATATGAATTTTTTTATGAAATGTTTTAGTCTAAGTGCTATCTATGGCGGAACATATATGCTTGATAAACCAGCTGATGAAATTGTCTATGAAAATGGTGTTGTTGTTGGTGTTCGTTCAGGTGATCAAACAGCTCGTTGTAAAGCTGTTATATGTGATCCATCATATGCACCAGATAAAGTAAAAAAAGTTGGTCAAGTTGTTCGAGCTGTTTGTCTTTTACGACATCCTGTTAGTGTTGGATCAAGTACATCACCAGGCTCCATTCAAATAATTATTCCACAAAAACAAGTTCAACGTCATAATGGTAAATAAATCATTGTAATTTATTTGCAAATAGAATTTGTTTTGTTAAATTAAGATATTTATGTTTGTTCTATGGGTCAAACAAATATGGTTACACCAAAAGAATGGTATGTTGCATTAGTTAGCACAACAGTTGAAACAAATAATCCAGAAAATGAAATAAAACCTGGTCTTGCATTACTTGAACCGATCTATCAAAAATTTGTTAGTGTCAGTGATTTATATGAACCAACTGATGATGGTACAACAAACAAAGTAAATTTTGAATTTTGTTTTTTTTCGTAAAATTTCTATTTTTTTTATTCTATAGCTTTTTATATCAAGTTCATATGATGCAACAACACATTTTGAATCAACATGTCTTGATATTCTTGATGTTTATCGTCGTTATATGGGCGAAGCATTTGATTTTACTAAAATTACACGTGGTTTAGATGCTGATGACAACCAAGAAGGAGCGCAATAGAGAATTTTTAAAAACCTTCTTTTCTTCTTTCTCGTTTCTATTTATTCGCAATATATATTTGTATCTGTATGAAAATGCGATTTTTCTTGTCTTTTATCAATGTTGTATTTCAATATATATGTATCCATTCTTTTTATCTCTTAAAAAACCATTTTAATTCTTCTAACTCATATGTGATTAGCATTCCATATACAAGAAAAACAAATGTTTCCTAATCTTTTTCTTTTTTGTGTTAGATGAATTTAATGAATTGTGCAGCAGCTATTCGCATTTTGACTAAATTTCTTTTTCTTTCCTCTCTATAATCATTTCACTCTAAGCAATGGTGTTTGTTTTTACAAAAAAAAAAAACATTTAAGAAACAGTCACATATTATTTATTCAAGTCTTATCTTTTAATGTATTTGTCTGTTGAGTGTATCACATGTTGGAATAAAATTCGTTTAAAATATATGAAAGAATTTCTTATATAAAGCGACAGAAGATTGAATTATTGTATTTAAATTTAAAAAAACATGTGTTTTTAATTAGAGACATTTTTTTCCCAGTAAAATTTTTTATAAAAACGGAAATGATTGCATCGGTGTTAGAGAAATAAGCAAAAATAATTATAGACATATAAGCCGATGTATCGATCGATACCAATTTAAAATTTTTCTTTGCATTCTTCAGAGATCTGACTATTGTTTTTGATAATGATGATGACTTTCATCTCTCTAGAGAGTTGTATTTTATAAATAGAATATATCATCTCCATTGAGATAGTCTATAGTTGAACATTACGTATCTTTGAAATCATCTTATTGTTGTTTGTGTTCGACGATGATACCTCGAATGGAAGATGTTTGTAATGATAATAATCGAGTTAGATTAGAAAGATTAAAATTGATATGATTTGATAATAAAAATGATCAATGATTTATCTGTATTTTTATTTCATTACAATAAATTTGATACTTTTATTTATATTAACGATATTGATAAAAGAAAATGTAATTTTCGATTAACATTTACTTTGAGATGGCGGTTTTTATATTTAATTAAAAATTATGGTTTTTGAAAAATCATGGCAATGGTCGATAGATGAAGATCATTTATTAAGTAAATATATATATATGTGAAATATTAATTATGATAATGATATAATTAATAGAGAAAAATCGAAAAAATATTCTTTGTTATAAGGAATCAAATTCATGTGTATGTAATATTAAATTTTTTATTTATTTGTATTTTCTTAAAGTCTAATCAATTATTAACGGATATTGATCGATCATGGATTATTACACATATGCAAAGTGATAACTTTCATTTAGAATTTCCTTGAATGTTTTTTTCATCATAGATCGACGACGAGAACGAAAAAGTTTGCAAGATTATCTGCGAAAAAATCATGAAATATTTACATTACAAGTAAATATTAATTTTGTCTTTGTAAATATAAAAAGAAAGTTTAATTAAGTATACACTCAATGTCAAACGGAATGAAATTGAACGTTTAGAAAATCATTTACGTGAAGAAGAACGTCTATTAATTAAAGCAGAAAAGAATATTGCTGAAGATTTAGTTTTATTTGATCAATTTCTTGATGTATCAAATCGAAATGCCAGTGATGCAGCTTCACGGTATGTTTGATTTGATACTATAAAGCTATTAATAAATAAATTCTAGTGCCGATGAAGAATCACGTAAAAAGGAAGAATTATTAAATGAAATAAAACAATTACAAAAGATTCTTATTACTTATCATAATGATCAAAATCATTTAATAGATACATTAAAACAATCACGTCGGTATCAACAATTTCTTTTTAAATTTGCACCTGAAGTTCGATATTGAAGAAAATATTGTTTTTCAATAATTCATTGATATTTATAGGAATGGCGTGTTGATATACTCAAAGATTTAGAATCTCAATGTAAGATAAGAATTTCTAGTTAATTTTAATAGAGTTTTTTTAAATTCTATAATACCTCTTTACAATCTCGACTTGAGAATAAGACAAACTCTATGTTATTTGATATTACACTGCAACGATTTTTGTTACTCATAAATAAAGAAAAGGTAACGCTCGTCCGAAGACTCGCTTAGCTTTTTCTCGTAGAAGTACATCCTCTTTACACTTACTGGAAAAACAACTGAAAATCTTACTCTCCTTTGTAGTTTCTGACTCTTAGCATGTACTCGAATCCTATTCCGTGGTAAACTCAGATCAAAATATGTTTGAGCTATCGTCACCAGTGGCTTGTCAAAGTAGTCTTTAACGAATAAGTGAAATATTAGGAACCTTATACGCGAGAAAGCCAACAGTTTATAATCGCTACACTATGTACTACAAGCACGAGATCATTTGGATACCCATACAAATGCATTACCCAAAAACTCGGTTTCTATCACTCCACGTCATTTTTCCCAATTCATACTTCACCCTCCTCCAGTAGTTTGAGCATATGAGGGGCACATTTGAATTTCCCGCATCGAAATACCTTGAGAAATGTCTTCTCTACAAAATTGGATTTCGATGTTTTTTGACCCTGCGGACACACAATCAAGCAAATAATTTATGTTTACCTGACAATTCTCAACGAGAAAGAGAATAAAAGCACCTATCATTGATGCTATCTTTAGTAAAGAGGTTACTCATGCTTTATCCAGGTTTCTTTTTTCGGGTGTACGAAATGAAAAATCTAGGTGGGCGCCACCCACTCAACCCATCCGCTGGATAAAACACGGGAGGTTACAAGTCAACGATTACAATATATGCTAGACTCGATGCAAACTTCCCCTGTATATATTATAAAATCTTTCTATGTCATATCGTTATATATAATAGGTACTGAAAATCGATCGAGTGATTCTTCAATAATAATGTTTGTATAATTATTTATTTCTATTTCGAATTCTTTTTAATCTCTACTAATATATAATACAAGTGAACCGGATACTCAAACGACAATTCATGAAGTATACCTTTTTACAAAATAATTATTAAAGTTAATTTTTTTTTACTTTCGTTTAATAACAAGAATTATTCTCTATATTTCACGAAACCTGAACAATTACTTGATATATTTACCGAAATGGAAGAAAAATCTTTACCACTTGTTCAAAAAAGTCAATATACATGTGAAACACTTGATAAAATTCATTCAACTATAAATCTTACAACAAATGAACAAAATTCTCAAGTTGAACAACTACAAATAAAAATTACTCAATTAGAAAACTTAATCAAACATGAAATTGAACATGAAATTTCTTGTCAAAATCTTCTTATGTATTTATTTTTCTTCTTTTTTTCAAATCATATTTCATTTTAGACAATATAAAAATGAAAAAGATCATTCATCTATCGAAAAATTAAAACAAACTGTTGAGATTTTATATAAAAAATATATTATATCAGATGATATAAGTATATCGACAATACATATGTTACAAACGATTGAAAATAAAATCAAATCGTTATTTAATATAATCGAACATATGGATTCATCTATACTTGTTGAAGCTGAAAAGGTTTTGTTTTTTAGAAAACTTTTATTATGATTATGGTTAATTTATTTATTTTCAGTTTCGTGAAATTACTGTTCGAACATTAGAACGAGAAGAAAAACTTCAACAAGAAAAATTAATAAATGAATTAAAACATAAAAAAACATTACTTCGTTCTTCAGCGCCACCTTACCGAAAAGTATATATATATATGCAGATATTTAATTTATCTCGATTTTGTTTTTTTTTATTATTCAGATCGGTAGAATAATAATGGAACGATCACGTCCATTATTAGAAAAAAAATATCATTTAAAACATTCAATTATTAATAAACAAGAACAATTAATGAGATTACTAGAAAATTAAAATGCTGTCGATGTTGAATTCGTTGATATAGAAGTTGAACTTTGTGTCTGTGGTTGATGATGATGATGATTTTGAATATCAGTTAAAAATGTATGATGAAATAAATCTTCAGATGTTGGACGTTGATGATAATCTTTTGTTAGACATGCATCAATAAATTCTCGCGCAGAATTAGATACATTTTCTGGTAATTCATATCTTAAATAAATAGAAAATAATTTTCAGAAAAAGATATTTATTTGAATAATTTTACTGTGGTTTATCACAAGTAGCTATATGAAATATTGCAGCAATTGGTTGAAGATTTTGCCATGGAGGACCCGTTGTTAACACTAGAAAAATAATTTAAATAATAATTAAAACGAAAATATTTAATTTACTTTCAACAATCGTACAACCGAGACTCCTAGAAAGAATAGAAATTGAATAGATATAATACAAAATTATTCGTTTTCGTTGTCTTACCAAATATCTGCTTTACGTCCAAATATACTTCCTTGAATGATTTCAGGTGCTGTCCAATGAGCTGTACCTGTAAGAAAAAGAAAAATACTTTTGTTTTCTTTCATTCTTAATTCTTCAACAATTCTTCTGTTGTTTATTTTGATGACTAATGCAATATATATGAATCATATTTATGTACAAAACTAATCTGTCATGATTTATGACTAAGCAAAATATTCTAGTTTTAATTTGAGACAAAGTACTAGGTGTTCCGGACACCCGGTAATTTGTCAGGATGTTCGGAATCGATTTTTTTACCACTGTTACCGGGAGTCCGTAAAGAGTGTAGGTGGGTGGGTGTGAGTTTGGGTGTCTATTATGAGAAAAGAGTAGTTTATACACCCACAGCCACCAGAGCATTTTGCTTGTTTAAAATTTTGTCATTCTGAAGATTTTGTGTGTCGAGAAATCGTAAAAAAAAGTTGGTGCGTTATGTCTCTTTCCCTTTAATTTACTCAATAATCCTATTTACCAATCGTTCCAGAATCTGGTTGATTTTGATTCGTAATTGCAATTAATCTTCTGGATGTGCCAAAATCACCCAATTTAATATTACCCGAGATATCTCTCAAGATATTTGCACCTGAATTAGAAAAATAAATAGATGTATACTAGAGATTAAATTTAAATTTACATTTAATATCACGATGAACAAATCGATTTTTATGTATATATATAAGACCATCAATAATTTGTTTGACATATTTTTTTGTTAATTGTTCTGTTAATGCACCATAATTTAATATTTGTTCACGTACTGATCCACCAGTCATATATTCCATAAATATTTGTAAATAATCATCTGTTCTTGCTGCACCATGATATCGAACAATACGTTCATGATTTAATTGTTTATATATATTTATTTCGCATTCAAGAATTTTCACTTCCTATTCATAGAAAATCAAAAATTAAGAAAAATTTTTATTTAGGGTTTTTGTTTTATACTCGAGAAGATTCTGAATTAAGTCCATGTATAGGAATTTGTTTAATTGCTAATTCACTACCAGTATCAACATCATAACAAAGATAAACTTTACCAAATGCGCCTAGAATATTAGTTTATATAAAAGATAATGTAGAAATAAAAATATTTACCTTGTCCTAATTGTCGCCCTAATTTCCAATTCGATGGTGTTTGAGGAGCTAGAAAAAGAAAGTAATAAAAAAACAAATTTCTAAGATCTATTTACATTGATAATGATGGCCCGAACAAGAACATTGTGTAGCAAATGATTCACTTGAACTGGAACTTGTATTAGATGAATTACTACTTGAACTTAATGCACTACTACCACTTGCAGTTGATCCTGTTCCTGTACGTTTAAGTAATTGACTAGCTAGAATTAGTAAAAATTAAATAAATTAATTCTTTAATATTTATTAGAATAAAAATAAATAATCACTTGCTAAACGTCGTCTTGAACTTGTATCACTACTGCTTGATTCTCGACTAGCTATTGATGAACCACCACTTGAATATATTTCATCACTCTAAAATAATTACAGATTCAAAAAAAAATGAATAAAATTCTTTAATAAAACTAACTAATTCTGGTATAAAAAGTCCACCATCTTTTGATGTTGTTGATTTACTAGTTGTATTCACTGTTGTACGTCGTTTTTGTGGTGCTATAGTACCTGGTGGTGGTGAATCTATACCAGTATCTTCAACTCGCTGTCCATCATCTGATATTGAACTTAAATCATCTGTACTAATTTTTAATTTTGTTCGAGAACCATGATAATTTTTTTTTCGTGTTAATAAAAAATTAAGTTTCGTTGCTCGACCAGCTTCAACAATAGCTATGACTTTATTTAAATCATCATCGTTTGTTATTGGTAAACGAAGAGCATCATCACGTGAAAATACACATCGAATACTATCAATAGATAATGATGTATGTTTGCCAAATAATTTGTCAATAGAGTTAAGTAAATCAGCATAGGTTACTGGTTTTGATAGACAACAAGCACGTACTTGACCATCAAGTTCAAATTTGACTGTCTAAATAAGAAAACAATAGATTTGATTAATGTCATAATAGAATTACTTGTTCTAGTGGTTTTTTTCGTTCCATTGCTTGCTGTAAACTAGCCGTAATTGAGGCTAAGATATCCGATTGATTTGCCATTATAAATATGAAATCAATCAGCTCATATATATATCTAAAAGAGTATCGTGATAATTTATTAATCATAGAAGAAAAAAAAACAATACATCTAACATGCTATCTGCTTTCTATTATTAAAATGACCTAATTCTACATAAAAGTAAGCCAAAATAGACCACTTTATTATCATAAATGAAATCGAAAAAAAAACAAGTTCTAAAAAGCAACATTAAAATTCGACTAAATAAAAGCATTTTTGTCATTGATTTAGATACATAAAAAAGCGAAAGCGTTATGCATTGCATACTAAAAATGAAATGTCGTCGTTGCTTTTGTCGTCTAGCAAAAACACATGGGAAGACAATAGAACATAAAAACGAAAAAAGAACGAAAAAATGTTCCCCATGTTTTTCTTTTTTTTCTTCTCTCTCTCTCTCCGTCCTGTGTTGTTTATTTCTTTATAAAAGCTCTCCATTAGTTTTTGCAACGTCAGGTTGTTTAACATTTTCCGGAACATCTGTATAATGATCGTCTTCCCGTATTCTTTCAGCACGAATTTTTGGTGTGTTTGATGTATGATTATTTGTTGGTAATCGATTTTCATCACTAAGACGACGACAACGACCTAAATAACTTTCACTTTTACGACGAATATATGTCGAAATTTTTGGTATTGGATTAGAAGGTTGATAAGTATTATCACGTCCACTTGGAGGTAGAACATTATCATTGGTTAACATTTTTCGTGAAGAAAGAGATGATTTTCGTTTAGGTGGTGGATCATCTTTTTTTCGATGAACTATTTAGATAAGAAATATAAATTATATTTATCATTATGTTATACATTAAACTTACTTTCAAGTGCTAATTTTGCATATTTTTCATTGACTAATCTATTCCATCGATCTTCTAATACATTATGAGGTATCTGTCTTTTTAAATCTCTAATAATATGTTTTGTCATAAAAAAATCAATACAAAATAATGCATTAAAACACATAAAAATACCCATGATTGTACCAAATATAGCAGCTAGGACAACAGCAATACGATAATCATGATATGTAATACCATGAAAACAACTTTCTCCAATATTATTTCTTGATTTTAAATCTGGATATGATATATGTAATGCTACAATTGATGCATCGAATGGTATAGTACGTGGTAATTGTTGTGCATTTCCAATAAATAGAATCGAATAATGATTTGAATTATCCGTACTTCCTGCACAAAAATATATTTCTTGATAAATAGATAAATGTAGGTTATTATAAGTTCCAATCGTATTAATTGGACGTAAAGCTACTGGACAATCGGTTATATTATTCATAACAACTTGATAAATACCAGTACGTTCATCTAAAACATATGGACGTAGATCATTCGTTGATGCATCAAATACAATTGTACGAAGTTGATCTGCTTTAGGTAATGCTTGACAACATTGAAGATTATTTGTATCAAGACCAGTACAAGAAAATACACTTGTATCAGTAATAATAAATAAACGATTTAAAATTATATTGAAATTTACAGATCGTATTGGAGATTTTATTGTGTCTGGTATAGTAATAATTGTATTCATTGTACCACTCATTGAAAACATTGTTAAAGTACCTGTACTATCGGTAAGAAATATACGTTTATTATAAATATCTGATGAAAATGATGTTAATCTATTTATATATGATGTATTCAATGAAATTGGTAGTTGATAAATAGTAGAATCAAGTTTTTCAACAGATATTAATTGACATATATAAATAGTTTCACTCGTTGTATTTGTAAAGAGTATATAAAGATCACGCATTGCAGGATCAAATATTGTACTTACAATAGTCATATTTTTATGAGCTGTAAAAATTAATGTTACTTTATCATTACCACCAAGTTCAACTGGATTCATAACTGTTATTGTACGTGTAGTGGAAATAATAACAGAACCAACTGGAATTGGATTATAAGAACTATTTATAACTGGTATTGATGAAACAAAAACAAACAATAAAATCGGATTCATTATTATTTCTGTTCTATTTAAATTAAGTAAATAAACGTTGAATATTAATTCTTATTCTTGTTGATTTGTCTTTATTTTTAGTTTACATTATCCATATATACTATCAGTTTCATAGTTATGGTTCAATGAATCTGTTCTCTTTTTTTCTCTTTCTTCATTATATCGTCATTTCATATTCATGAGTTATCATTCGTCAAATAAATTTTCATATTAACTTTAAGTATTTGAACATCGGACAAAGGTCATTTTATATTATAATCGATATGAATTCATGATGCCAAAATTAGGACTACAAGATGAAATAAAATATATCGTCTAAAAGCGTACATTTTTTATTATGCGATTGTTTGAGTTGACAGTGTGAGGGAGCCATCTGAAAGAAGGATGTTATAAAGTGCACTATTGCTAAGAAATCATCAAATTAATAACTAACGAACAAAGAGAAACAGATGTTGAATTACACAATATATATAATTCTTTAAAGTCACTCTTTCTCATCATTAATTGTAATAACGAGATTTTCTAAGGAGATAGATTAGAAATATAAGTTCCAAGTTATTTGTGTACCTATACAGTACTTTTCATTCGTTCTTTATCTAATATCTTATTAATGATGTTTTTATAATTTTGAATTTAAAGAAAATATTGTCTGAGTAATAATGAACTAATTTGCCAGTTAATTTTCAGCTTACAAATCTTAAATAGACTGTTTATAAGAAAAATATATAGGTTTGGAATGTCAACAGCTGGTAAGTGAAATATTTGTATAAATCATTTTCATTCCGATCAACATAGAATTCATGTATCAAAGACGAAAAGATATTTTAACTATTTTATCTAGTATCCATCCGAAGAAAAACTATGAAAAATATCATTAACAAAATATCCTTTAGATTCAATCGAATGTTATTCCATTGGAGAATAAAAATATTTTTCTGTACTTGTCTCTAATTCATTTCATCAATAAAATTATTATTACTCAAGCACGAAACAGATCATGCCAAAAACCCCGCTTTCAATATGATCGAAGTATTCCTCCAATTAATAGCAAGATGTTCACTTTCTAAGTAGTTTCTTTTTAATTGTGAACAACATGCTTTTATTATCCATAAAGAATTAGTAATAAAATGGAAAGTACTGATTGTACTAAATGAGATATATTGTCATTGTCATCAATAATATATTGTAGTACTGGTTATCAATAGGATTCTTTTTTAATAATTAATAAAATTTATCATTTGTTTGATGTCTCGTCTTATTTCAATTTTCTTTTTTATGATCGACAAAACTTAGTACATCAATACTTACTCAGAACTATAAATAAGGTAAACCTTTATCTTTTCTTTGGTTAATTATTTTCTAAAAATACCTTCAGCTTATATTATACTTGACAAATCTGTTTCGAGTACATATATCCTAACAGTTTTAATTTGCTTTATTAAAGAATAATGTACTTATTCAGAAGAAAACGGGCATTGTTCTACATGTCTACCATTCATATGAAAATATTTTTAATTAAGAAACAACATTAATTAATATAATTTATAACCGAACGTCAATATTCGGAAGAAACTTCATATTCAATTAAATTTAACTTATTAGAAAAATAGAGGAGCAAAGTACTATTGAGGTCATATTGTTGGTATTTTTACTTCTGTAAAGAGCTGAAATGTGTCTTCGACCCCGACCATTTTAGTATATATTTCTCGAGATATTTACGTTCTACTCTGAAGAAAGAAAGAAAAAAAATTATTTTATTTCTTTTTTCTTTTCTGTTCTCGTCTGTTTTGTGTCTGATGTAACCTAAGGTTTATTTCTCGTATTTATAAAGTTCATATCGAGCTACTCTCAGAATTATAATTTTCATTTAGAATATAAGCAATATTTTGGGGAAAATCGTGATTTTATAGAGAAAATTAAGTTCAAATATATTCTTCATGAGTTCTATTGAAAATCATAATTATTTATTTATTGTACAGATTTAATTATATAAAAACGTCTTCTACAAATGGATAAATTATCTTCTAAAACAAAGCGACAGTCAACAACAGTGGCAAGTAAGTGTAAAGTTTGTGGAGCTCCGGCTACATATTCATATTATGGTGTTATATCATGTCGTCCATGCAAAATATTTTTCAAACGAAATGCTAAACGAGAACAAGTTAATTGAATATATAGATTTTATTTCAATTAAACTTATTTCATTTTTCAGGAATCATTAAAATGCGATCTTAATGGACATTGTCAAATAAGTCTACTTAATCGTCATATTTGTTCTTATTGTCGACTTAAAAAATGTTTTTCAAGTGGAATGCAAGTCGATATGTTTCGATCATCCTATTCAAAACAACACAAAACAATTCGAACAAACGAAGAATCGAAAAACTCGATTGAAACTCAATCAACAGCTTTAGTTAGATTCAGACAACCTGAACAGGTCAGATTATTTTCATGATCATACAAACGATATCTTATAAATGTATTCAACATTTGATTGTTGGACACGAACATTTATACAGATGACCATATCATATCTTATCTATTGCTAAGAGTGATCTCTCTCGCCATTCTTCTCTATCACCTCGCTGAGACGCCCTTAGCAATGCATAAGTTAATATATGATTATCTTTATACATGTTCGTGTCCAACAAGCAAATGTTGAATACGGCTCATTGATTACAACCATGTGGAAAACGGAAAATTGTAATCTATTTCAGATTGAGTATCTAATGGGACTCTCGTTTCAAGATTCTTCGAGAAGCATTCAGAATTTCTTCTTATTACAGCATCCATGCTTTATTGCTAAAATTTAAATTCTTTCCATTGCAATTAAGATATAATCGAGATAAATATTTTCTTTTGGAAATCTCGTTTCTAAAATGATAAGTGCATGCATTTCGAGTATTCAAGTTAGTTCAATACTAATCGAATGTCATCTAATCCTCTTACTAAGACAAAAAATGTTTTCTAGAATCTACGTTTTATCCAGCGGATGGGTGGCGCTGGATGAGCGTCGCCCACCCGAAAAACGAAACCTAGACAAAAAATGTTTTCTAGAATCATCTATTTTCATCGGTTTCAAAGAAAATCGAATGAATGTCAGTCTTGGGTTTGAAATAGATTACTAATTATATATTTAAATCACCGTACTCACAATTAAGTTACTTTCTAAAAACATATCAAATTATTATTGACTGAGATATACTTATAATAAATATATATTTAAGTAATGTATCGAAAGAGAATTGAAGAATTAATATAATATCAATAAGTTATTGATTTTTTTAGTTTCCAACTTTAAATCTTTTGCAATCAGATCAATCAACATTAACTGTTGAACAATGGAATCATCTGTCGAATTTATCTCATTGTTATGATGAACATAGTGGTATTTCATCAGCTGTTCATTATATGGAAGAACAAAATAATTTACCGATTAAGTTTCGTTTTAAATGTGAACCATTAAAAAAATTTATTAGTGGGTTGATGGATAGAGCTCAATTATTATACAAAAATAATCAAGATTTTCTTTCCTTAATTGATGATGATCGTTCGATATTACTTCATAATACAATTAAACATGTGCGAGGTCTTAGTTCTCATTTCATTTATCGTCAAATTCAATTAATTAATAATCCTGTTTGTTTTCAATCACTTGAATTAATTTTTGGACAAAAAACAATAGCTACTGCTAAACGTGTCGATGATCTAATTAATTTTGATGCTATTATTATGAAACTTCTTTTAGCCATTCTAGCTTTCTCAACAACGGATTATACAGTTTATTCAAATATAAATCAAAATAATCTTAAAAATATCAAGAAAGTTCTACATTTTCAACATGTATATATTGACTTAGCATGGCGATATTTGCTCTACAAATATAATCATCGTCAGGCTGTTATCTGTTTTTCGAATGTATTGCGATGTCTACTTATGTTGCATAATACTATTGTTCTTGCGTATGAAGTTCAACAGTATACAGATGTAATTAATCCGCTGTTCAACAGACCGAACAAGTACTTCGTTTGAGTAATTAACTGTTTTTTTTTGTATTGGTGTTTTGTATCATTATGGCATTTCGTGATGATGATTCCTTTCTCATGAACAATAAACAGATGTTGAAATTGTTTTTTTTTACAAATGCTTTTATTTCCAATTTGATACGATCGTCTGTTAAGCTTACTATCAGCTGACTGTACTAAGTTCAAATATCTTATACAGTTCTCTAATGATATTTGAACAAAAACTGTTTTTAGAAGAAAATAGACTACAATTTTATTAGATAAATATTGTTGAAGTTTTGAGTAGTAATAATCAGGTAATAGTCTCTTCTTCGTAAAACGATGTATAGACAAATTCATGAGAATTATCAATCACGGCGAATCTTCATGAAAGGATACATACTAGAATTCATATATGATACCAAGAATATATAGGAGGATATATGAAAATCGATCATGAAAATGGTAAATCAAATGAAAATTTTATCTCTATCATCAGTTTTTATTTCTTACGTAATATAAACAAATGTCATGATCAGATTTATGTGCAACAAAATGTGATCGATTATGTATTTAGCTAAATATCAATATACTGAAATAGAGTATTGGTGTGGATTTGGTGTTTATATACTCTATCTACACCGGCATCTTGTTGACAAGGATTAGCGATAACGAAAACATATCTCATTGTTATCAGTAATATATAATCATAACCGGAAGACAAACTCTGAATTAATATCTGGACATCAAAATTAAAAGTCATCCTGATCTATAGGAGCTACAGCTGCAGCATCGAAGAGATTCTCATCACCATCATCATCATAATAATCATAATTATCAATAAAATTAAGATATTCAGGTGCGGCATTAGAATCGTGAGCAGCAGTAGCCATTTTAAAATTTATACACGCATCCAAATATGCAGCAACAGCAGCATGACAGGCAGCATCAACAGGATCATAGCCATGGAGAATAGCATGAGTAGCAGTTTTAAGAGCCACATCATAAGCGCACCTATTAGCATACGCACAAGCATTATCAATTTCATAATCATTGTAATAATCAATAACAAGCGCAATTGCTGTAGCTGCAACACTAGATGGATTTGTTGTTTATTGATCATTTGAATTAGTTATTTGCTTTTTCTGTGCTTCTAAAGAGAGAAGAATGATTCAAATACTGATTTTTATATGCATTCATATGGGCAGCTGTACACTTGTTTTGCTTTAACTTACCCAAATGACAAAAATCTATTACCACTAACAACATTTTACGAAATTCATAATAGACTTGACAAGATCCACTAACTTTTTCTTGAAATTTTCGACAATTGAAATTTTGCGGTGCTTTTATTACAATATATTTTGTTCTCAATTTTAATTGTTCACATACTTCATGTAATGGAACTCTTCCAATAAATAATTCAACTTCTACTTGATCCTTATAAGTAGGTCCACCCCATGGTGGATCAAGAAATACAGCATCTTGCTGTAAACTAGGCAAGTATTCAAGATAATCTCCATGATAGCATATTACATTCTCATGTTTTAATATTTTCAAATTATTTCTCAACATATTATAGCGTGTTTTATTCAATTCAATGGCTTGAACATGCTTAAACTTCTTGCAAAATGAACTTGTATTACCACCAACACATGCTGTTCCATCGGTAATAACAATCCTATCCTTTTCTAATCCATTTAAGTTTGCAATAAATTCGGAGATCTTATCCGCTGTACGCATATCTGTTGTACTATATTGAGCAACTTTATCTAATTGGATTTGTTTACGTATACACGTAGACATATCAGAAAACAAGAAATCACGCTTATCAAAAGATGAATCTGTTTTATTCATGACGGTTTGCATAGATGAATTTCTTGGGCTTTTACGTCTGCAATCCATGTTTCTTTCCAAGAGGTACTGAGTCAGCGCACACTTTTCTCCAAAACAATAATCTTTAAAAAAACAGAACAAAATGATAAAATTTGAAAGAATGTATCAAAAACTCATTAGGTCTTGTAATTACGTATAAGTCATCTTGAGAGGCGATTGTAAAAGAGATGAGATATCTCTATTTATATACGAAATATGAATCAGAGATAGGAAAAAAGTGTTTGCCAATATGAGAAAGTTAAAAATATCTACCGCCCTTTATTTGCATATATATACTTTTGTGAAAGGAAGACGAAATTCGTTGCGAGTAACGACAAAATTTGTAAGAAATGAATTAGTATGACTAATTGTTTGTAATCTTCCACGTGCTTCCGCTTATTTTAAATATGCCCAATTGCAGAGAGATTTCGAATTTCGGTGAGAATAATAGAAATATCTTCAGAAAGAATGATTCAAAGCTCTGAATAATGTTTATCGCTATTAAAAAAAGATTTCTACTTTTTCTTTTTCTTCCTTATTGTTGGGGAATACAGATAACGATAAACGAGAATAACGAAGTGTTTATTATCATAAGAGAGATGTATTTGCGTCTAATTACATCTTGAGCGTATGGATATGATTGTTGATACTCTATTTCATCCACATTGACACTCTTACATTGGTCTTGTTAACAGTATATTATCATTTCACTCAAACAAATTAATCCGAAAAAAGGATTATATAATATCTTCGATACCATTTTGAGAGAGTGAATATAAGCATTCTTTTCACTGCCTATGCCCAGTTTTACATCCTCAAATCTGACGAATTGCAAACCAATCAGTACACTATCCTCTTGAGTATCATCGATAAATAAATTGTAGAAAAGATTTATATAATTCATTAGAATTCAACAGATTTTACACTAATTTAGATGACAAAATACAGTTCAATCTTTTTTTTGCATGTTTAAATAGCTATTCACTATTCTATGAAACAGTTCAAATCAAGTTGATAATAAATTTGTAATGTCGCCTTATGATCATGACGGCCCGAAAGAAGCTATGGAGCATCCCACAATACAGTAGTAATAACACAATAGACATATTAAAAATAAAACACCAAAATTTTTATTCAAATGTAACAAGAAAAGAGTAAACTGAGCAGAGAATCGATATGCCAGCATGAAACATGAGTAAAGGTTATAGAAAGAAATAAGAGTAAAATCGAAATGAAAATAAAAATGTAGATATTTCTTTTTTTATTTCTCTTCCTTCGTTTCATATCAAGATTATTACAATTACTTCTCTATTCCTTCTGTTGTTTTTTTCGTTTCCTATTCTCTCTTCTCTTCTACTCATCTAAGAGAAAAAATACAAATGGTAAAAAACAAATCAAATATGCACGACCCGATCGCTTTCAGTTATCCTTTACAGATATTTTATCATGTACGATGACTACATCATTTTTTTTGTAGTATCCTAAATAACCACTTATAATCATTCTTTATGTGTCGGTTGTCATAAACTGTTAGATGATGTAATTTATATGATTATAGTCAATGATAAAGTCTATATATGGTTGTTCACACGATAATTTTATAAATAATTGTGAAAAAAAGCATACATAATCACGTTTACAACATTAGATTTGACAAGCAATTCGTATGATGAGAACTATGTATCTGTGATATATCAATAAACATATACACATTGTTTATTAATAAAAAAAAGTATAAAATTCATGAATGACCATTAATAATAGTTGAATCAGCATGTACATGACCTGCTATTGAGCTTTTTAAGCATCATTATTTAAGCATGTCAAGACTTACAGAAAGATTTGAATAAAATATTATTGAACTATCTGTTGACAAAATGAATGTTGGTGTAATATGAATAAAAATATCCATATGTAACTATATTCACATCTACACCTTTGATTTATTTCATTGTGTCAAATATTGATATATAATAAAATAAAGATAATTCCTGAGTATTATTACATCAAAGAAATCTAATTACAAGACAAAAAAAAACAAGGAAAACATAATACATAATTAATTTTAACTATCAAAATCAATATTATCATTAGATTAAATGAGTTAATGTTGTTGTTGTACTGTCGGTATCTTTTCTTGTTGATGCTTTTCCAGTTGTATTTATTGAACTCGGATTATTATTATTATTATTATTATTATTGTTATTGTTAGTCATGCGTACCACAGTTGAACTTTGTTGTCGTACGTTTTGTATGAAGTCCTGTAATAATAGATTAATGATTATCATCAGATAAACATATAGATATGTTACGCTAAACTATATTTATCTGTATCATTTAAACAGTTACATCATATATAAACACCTACTGTGTTATTTATCCTCACATATTGTTTCAATGATTCAACGTCATATGTATAACTTAATCGTTCATCTTCGGAAGTATTTACATAAGAGATTTCTATCCTTGACCTGATCTTTTTTTTTATTTCAAAAGAAACGACTAATGTATGAACAATTCGAATACTAATTCATTGAGATTCAATGATTAGTTGTCAGACAAATGTAAGGTCAAATATGTATATATATATACAGATTAATAGTGACAAATTATATCGTTTAAGAAAATTGTATTATTATAGAAAAGAAAACAAATTTACCGATGATAGTGCATCACCATTTGCTCGTCGTATTTGATACAAATATCTAAAACGATTACTTTCATCAGGAATAATCTGTTTTCGAAGTGTATCTTGTTCATAATGTCGACGAATTTTATTTAAATTTGCTGATTTATATCGTTTTTTACCAGCACTAATAACTAAAACAAAACAAAAATTTCTTTATGTTTAACCATATAGCGAATAAAGAATTATTTCGTTCGTATAAAATAATTTTACTTTCTCAACAAATCTACTTGTATCTCATCAAATGTTTTCTTCACATCAATGGAAGAATAATTAGTCGTTCACAATATTACTATATTATCTTATATACATTCCCTTAGGATAAGCGTACATGTATGTCCGACTATAGGAAAGAGTTCAAGGTCAGTATATTCTTTCGATGATAAAAAGAATCGATTCTCTTGTGAAATGTACCCTAACTAATGTAATTAAATATGGTTAAATGAGCTGATAGTGACAGCTGGATAATATTCTTCATACCTCTATGCCATGAATCTCGATGATCATAATCTTTCCCTGTACATGAATATTGTATAACAATACCAAATAACATAACAATCGGTAATATAAATACAATAATCCAATGACGAATACATAATGTCGATGTTAATTCAAATAAAAGACGTTTATGTATAAAACGAAGTAAAATAGATAATTGAAGGAAATAATCTAATACAAGTACATGACAAACTCCACCTAAACATGATGATGTGATAATAAGCATAAATTTTTGAAAACGTAATGTTAATATAGCACATAATAGACCTAACATTAAAATAAGACCAATAATTAACCAGAATGATGTTGTAATACCATTAGCACGATGTTTTATATCCCAAATAATAAATGTAATTATTGAAAGTATTAAACCAAACGTAAAACCATTAATAAATAATCCAACATATTGTAATAATATATTTATTAAACCAAATAATAATGCAATTGAACAAGATACACCAATTAATTGTGGTTCAGTCATGGTTGGTTGTGTTGATAGAATAATATAAAGAAGAAGTGTACCAAGACTAAATGATGTTATAAACATTGTTAAACGCCATAAACGATAACCTAAACGAAATTTGTTGAAGAGAAAAAATGAAAACAATTTTTTTACCAAATATTGCATAAAATAATCCAACAAATGCAAGTGATATATAAGCAATTAACCACTGTAATTCATAATGTATAGGTAATCGTAATTCACAATATTCACCTAACATTGTACGATTTGTTGTGTTTTTTATCATAATCTAAAGAACAAAATATAGATATCTTTCTTGCTTGCTTGCTTTTTTTCTTTTATTATCAAGGATGTTCGATAAACTAGGATGTACTCTTCTAATCTTAAAAATATATCTCTAATGTATGAATGTATGATGAAAAAAAAAGATTAGCAGATACAAATGGTTGATTACATCATTATTGTTTGATCATGAGAAAGATAGATAATGATGCTGAAGAATTAGAATCGATGACAAATCCTACTTTTATTTTATTTTTTTCTCTATCCACATAATTAAATGCACTCGATAAATTAACATGAAAATCATCGTGGCTATAGTGACACATTTCTTCTGTCTACTAATGATAGACACCGACAAGATGCATGTCTGTTTTTCTTTCTTCGCGCACGCGCGGTTTCTCTCTCTCTCTCTCGCTTTTTCTGCCATCATCTTACAAGTAGCTATGAACAATATGAAAAAGAAAAGAGCGAGGGAGAGAGAGAAGAAAGTCAACTATGATCACGAGCAAAAGAACGAAACAGCTGATAGAGTGGTTGACCTTTCTCTCTTATAGAGTTCACGTTTTATAAAAAGAAAGTTTTCAATTTGATCATTGTTATTATTACTACGTTTCAATTGTTTATTTTATACATTTTAAATCTATGAGAAGATTTCGTATAAATACTAATGAGGAAGAAAAAAATTTTTTGAATATCTTTAAAATCTTCTATTATAAACAAAGGAAACGGCACACTTCCTGAATGAAAACGGAAGTAGATCAAGAGTGCATCAGTCTGTAATTTTTTTCTCTACTAATGAATTAATAAAATAACACATTATAGATAAGAAAAAAAACGAATACGCTTCGAAAGAAACTATGAAAAGGTGATTATAGATTGATTTAAAATTACCATAAAAGAATATATATTGACGCTTACAAAAAAAAGAGTATTGAAAATTCGTATGCAGAAGCCATTTTTAAGTTCAATGTTGACGAACAAAAGAAGTTTACTTAACATGATAATTACGATTTTGCATAATGATGTAATATAAATCAATAGTATAAGCACAGCTTCTTTGATCAAAAATAGAATTTAAAAGTTATCACAACAAAGAGATCTATAGAAATGAATTTTTAACATAATGAACTTCACGTATATCACACCTTCTTTTAAAGGAATCACCAGAAAAAAAGATTAGAGATTTATTATGTTTGTTTTCATGTAAAGCTTACCGCCAAGTTAAATCGATTCTATTGCAAATGAATCATAATGTTACTATTAATCCTTCTGATACTTATCCAATTTTCTAATACTAGTAAATCTATTTATTTTTAAATAAATAAAACTATATATTGATACTTAGACACTTGCCCAATATTCTGTCAATGCTATTCTGCATTCGATGGTAAAAAAATGTTTTTTTCATTCTTTTAGAATTTTTTTTTTCAAAGGTTATCATGTTGCATGTCGAAATGCTAGTCTTTATGAGATACCATTGAATTTAATAGAATTTCTTCAAATAACTGACCATCAAAATCTTATCATAGATTTAAGTTCAAATTTTCTTTCAATATTATCTTGTAAAATTTTTCAAATATCAACAATAATTCAATTAATATTAACAAAAAATAAAATTGAATATATTCCGTCTTGTTTTTCTCAATCATCCATAGAAATTCTTCTTATAAATCAAAATCGTCTTCAATTTAATCAAACAACAATTTTATCAAGTTCAAAATTAATTTTTCTTGATATATCTCATAATAAAATCTTACAATTACCTCGAACATTCTTCTTTCATCTACGACGACTACGTACATTGATATTAAATGGTGAAAATAAATTATTTGAAAAAAATAATGATCAATGGATTCGATCATTAACAACACGAAATCAACTTACAATTATAATATGTGATGAAAATTTTCATTTACCTTTATGTCTTTTTGATAATTTATTTCAATCAAAAAAATTATTTGCAATTGAATTGAATACAAATATTCATTGCGATTGTTCTTTTGTATATGTACCTTTAGAAAAAATTCATTTTCAATATTGTCAATCTAATTATTTAGAACAACAAGGTAAATGTAATGATCAATCATCATCTGATTTTAAATTAGATCAATCATTGATACATTTACAAACTGAAAATTATCGTCAACTATGTGCTAAAGACTATGAAACTTGTCAAAATATACAATTAAAAAAAAATTTTGAATTAACAACCAATGATTTTGATATGCCTTTAAGCATTATTAATCAATCAGAATTAATAATATCATCAATTAAAAGTTCTTCAACAAATGAATTTATAACAACGACAATAACATATGTTGTTAATGGAACATCTTCAAAGAGAGAAAATATAACCGCAGGTGCCATTATTCCATTGGTACTTATTTTACTTATTGTAACAATAGTCTGTCTTTATATTATTCTATCGGGACAATTTTTTAAAATGAAAAATCGTGAAAAATTTATAGATTTAATTAATAGACGGAAAAAACAACAAGATATATCAAGTGTTACCCCAAGTGGTATGCAGATTTTTCATTATAAAATCATTTTAAGATCTTGAGGAAATTATTTCGATTACGGATAAAATAACATACCCAAAAAAAGAATATTTAATTATTTATTGTCTAGATCTGTGACCTTACTCACGGCCATTTAAGCTGTTATCTTACAATTGTTAAACAATGAAAAGATGTGTGGTTAGAATACTTGATAATCTACCACACATTTATATGGCTTTTGTTTTATCGCTGTTAGGTAATTTAGATAAATATTCAACACGATTCAATGAAATTGCACCAATTGAAAATATAAATATGAATTCGAATCGTCAAAATAATTTTTTTCAATCATATCATCAACAAAAGACTTCATATTCTGATGATGAAACTGATCTTACATTTTATAGTATTATTGATAATAATGATTCGTCAACTTCATTTATTCAATCTTCAATGACTGAAATTGAAATAGCATCATCAACATCAACAATAAACTCTTCATTATCGAGTGAAACTATTGTAATGTCTCATGAAAATAAACAAAGAATATATTAATATAAGACAAGACACTTGAATATTTTATTTATTCTACATTTATAAGCAAAGGAACAAAATGAGATATCTTTATCAACCTGATACACACATGCACACACACAAATATAAATTCATATTACAGAAATGACATACACATAAAATTGAGCTTGATAATATTTAATAGTAGCTACTGAACAAAACAACAACACAAAGATAAGAAAATTCATGTAAAAATTCATTAAAAGTTAATGTGTTTTAAGCATAAAATTCTTGTGGTGATTTTGAATAACCATATTGATTTGGATAAAGTAAACCTGTTGTATATGATGAATGAGATTTTTCACGTTTATGATAACGTCGAATAATACAAATAAGAAGAATAATAGATGTTAAAATACCTACGGCTAAACCTAAAAAAGAATTTCTTTTCTTTTATTTACATATATACAAATGACTTACCAGCAAGAATACCTATTGCAATCGGTGGACGTGTTAGAAAACTAAAAATTGTCCATATAGGTCTTGTCTGATTCGTAGTTAATGACTGACGAGTTGTTAGCATTGGATATGGAGGTGGTGTAAATGAAGTACTAGAAACTTTGTTTGATAATGTTGGTTCATTGTAATAAGCATCATCTTCAAGTTCATCAGCATATTCTTCATGATCATCTTTAAATTCACTTGCATCTATATCATTATAGGGTGGTGATGGTGATGATGATGTTGTACTACTTGGACTTTTCTTTTTCGGTTGGTCATAATTAAATGTAGTTTTTGACCATTTATTGATTAAGATTGTTGTAGTTGTTGAATATGTAGTAGTACTAGTAGTAGTAGTAGTTGATGTCGTTGTTGTTGTTGATGTTGTTGTTAATATTGCCATAGTTGTTGTTCGTGTAGTAGTCATTATTGTTGTACTACTATTACGATTAGCAGTAACTTTTGATAGTTGTTCTTCTTCATCATCATCAGCATATTCATCAAGACTTGCTGCACCACCACTACCTTCAGCATTATTTCCTAATGTTTTTTGATCATTTAAATCATAATCATCATAAACTGATGCTTGTTTAGGTAATGTCAAAGCACCAAGAGGTTGATCTTTTGAACTATTTGTTACTGTTGATTGAACAACAATTACAAGACAAATACATGTAACCAACAGTTGAATAAACATTATCAACTGACGGTTCAAATTAAATTTAAAGGAATATTGAAAATATTTATTAGAGAATATATTAAATAGGGGATAGTAAAAGTCAAATGATAATGATCATGTGCGAGTACAAACAAACAAATATGGCTATCATCTCAACGGAGTTGACCATTGGTCAGTGTTATTAATACGATAGATGGATTTCAGTCGAATATTAATAATAATGAGCTAAATTTTCAAATTTGATCTTGAAATTATATCTTTTCTATTAAATAATATTAGATTTTGAAGATTTAAAAAAATGTTCAATATGTTCAAAACGATATGAGATGGCGCTGTTGCTTATCCGATTGAACAATAAGGCATGAACATCAAACGTTTCGCTTCATCGTATATCATTTATACATTGGTAATACATAGCAGCATCGCATCAATTTCCACAAAAGTTGTAGAAAAATGTTTAGTAGTTTCACTTTTAATTTGTTTGTTTAAAAACAAGAAAATCATTTCAATACGTTTGAATTAATTTACCTAATTAAATTTCCTACAGTTTATGTTTATCTATATACATCCCTATGGTTTCATTTTTAATGATACTAATATCGAATAGTAATTCGATGATAACCAATCAATATTCTATACTTCCTACTAGATTAGTTCAAGTAGATGATCAAAGAATATTGAAAATGACAGATCATGATCGATTAGGAAAAAGAAAGATATATATTTATATTACTAAAAATCACAAATATGTGTATATAACCATATTTTAGATAATTGATAAAGATGTCAGAGAATAAAATCACATTACAATAATTAAACTGTCAATTTATTTGATGGAATAAATCCACTATCACCAACTTTTTGTAAAATAACATTTCCATTACTTAATATAGTTATATGTGTAATCGAACCATGATTTAATTCTATATTTAACCAGAATGCAATAGGAAACTGCATTACTCTAATAGAATAACAGATTATTAATAATAAACTATATTAGATAACTTACTTGCAAATAAAGTATCGTAATACATTTGCATGAAATACAATAATATCATGTGTATCTTTATATTGTTTATAATAGGCTCGATGAAAATAAGTTCGGAAAGCTTCATCCATTCTTTGTTTATGACTATAAGACTATAAATATTATATTCTTAGAAAAAATACAAGCTTTTACAATTATTATTTTACATTAATTTGCCGTTGGGTTAGATTAACATAAGGACTTGGTAGAACAGGTAAACCTTCAGCTAAATTTTTATCTTCGATTAATTTAAGTGGATAATTTAATTGTTGATTAATTATTATTGCACTTTGTAATGCACGAATCATACCCGAATGAATAAGACGATCAAATTTTATATTCATTTCATTTAAATATTTTCCGGTATATGTTATTTGTTCTTTACCTAATGAAGTTAATTTCATTTTCTTGATATTCTTAGCATTTTGAAAATATTTTCCATGACGAATTAAATAAAGATGACGAGACCAATTATTTTCTTGTTTTAAACTATATCAAACAAGAATATAATAACTATTCATAGACATCTAAGATAAACTACCTATCCCAAGAATTATTCCATAGTGATGAGAATAATATTTGATTCACAGTTCTATTTAAATGAATATCTTCTAATATACTATTCTGATGATAGGTAATCACTGTTAAAATAATACCCATACAAAATCCGATGATATATAATGATATCAGATGGAACCAGATGACATACATTGATAAAAAATATAATAGTTGACATTAACCATTACTATTCTGTGACATTTATATACACAGCAAAAAATACATTTATAAACTAATCGACATTTAGTTTTGTAATGATTATAAGAATAATAGTTTAGTTTGGAGAAAAATATGTCTATGAGTAGATCAATCATTAGATTAGAATTAAAATTTAAAAAATGTTTCGATTTTTGCATAGTTATATATGATTTATTATTTAATTATTGCTTGATAGAGATTTGTATCAATACTTGTGGTATTTAATCAGATATGACACTATTGATGAATATATTTTCAAAAACTAGAGACTAAATTTAAGTTTTTTTTTAGATATTTAGTTTGTCAATTTATACGAGACTCAACTTTATTCAAGCCTAAGAGTTTATCTCATATATCATTGACTATATAGATAAGTGCATCGATTGTAGCGTCGTACATCACCAGATTGGTCGAAAAAAAGAAGCCATTCTACACATTTAAATCAAGATCAACACACACTACAATCTTGTGTATATATATATAGAGAAATATATTGATTGATAATTGATTGTTGTTCGAAAGTAAATCATGTTAAAATCCAATGAAATTCTTACCGAAGAAGATAAAGTTCCTTCAACATCTTCTGATTTTCTTCATGATTATTTACAAAAAGCTGATTTATCAACAACAACAAATCTTAATCAATTCATAAAAGATCATCATATTTCACGTGATGAAAATGAAACAGAAGAAGCATTTACAAAACGTGTTAAAAAAATTAATTATTTAAATTTAGCTCAACAATTAATTCGTAATAGTAGTCAAAATGTTAGTACAACACGTCAGATAATTAAATCTGAATTACAACCATCTAATCATGTAAATTAATATATATTAATATAAATAAAAATCAATTCTAATTTGTTTTTTTTTTGTTTTCTAAGGAGTCATTATCAAAACCTTTAGCACCTCTCAAACGAATGAAACCTGTTTTTTCACCAGCTGAAGATCCAGATTTTGATGATGAATTCGAATTAGATGATACCAATTCACGAGATATTTATGATAAATCATCTTCATCATCATCATCATCGTCCTCATCATCTTCAAGTGAGGATGAAGATATTCAACTTCGTCAACATCGAATATTACCATCTAAGATTAATCATACATTTGCTAATGATATTAAACAAAAATTATCAAATCTTGCTGCTGATGTTGTACGAACATTTGGTACTTCAAATATAACCGGAGATGATGATTTAACTAGACCTTTACCAACAAGTACATCATTTTCATCACGATTATTTCCCAATCGAATTAAAGAAACAAATAAGTAATTTAAAAAACGAAAATGAAAAAAAAATCATATATTATTTCTCTTATTATTTAGTCAAACTAATGATGATCTTGTAGGACAAGATGTATCTACTCAAAATAATACTAATGAAATCAATCATGAACCTGATGATACAGATTTATTATATACAAACGAAAGTTTATTACCACAAGTTGATTGGGAAAATCTCGAGAAACAACTTAAACAAGCACAAATTGAACGAGAACGATACGATAAGGTATTTTTTTCTCTCTCAATCATATTGGATTAAGAAAAAAAGAATAGTTTACAATTGTGAATAGAGGTGTAAGCCGGTAGGGTAATTAGCGGCGGCGCCACGTTTTAAATTTTTTTTAAATGTTCGGTGGCGTAGGTTTGAAAATTTCGAGTACCATCGGCGGCGACTGCTCAGCCGCACGGCTTACACCTCTAATCGTATGTTAATTAAACATTTTTTTGGATGAACAATTTAGAATTGAATTTGACATTGGAAGAGTACGTGCAGAAAAAGAATTGTGTTATCTTTTGATGTTAATAGTATCAAAGATTATCTAACTTAAATCGGTATGAACTTTAAAAATAACTACCTAAATTATTGATAGAAATTTTATTTCATATTATTTTAATGAATTTTTGAGTAAATATAATATTATTGTGAGTTTAGGAATCTGATTGTCGATAGAGAATACATATAACAGATTTACCTATGGAATTTTCATGTAAATTTCCCTACGGCTTCTCAACGAATCTAATCTTATAGATCTTTGAGAGTATTTCTATTGCTGAACTATGATGAAAGTTTATTTTTTTTAATCAAATATTCTACGATTGATACAAAGAATAGCGGCATGATTTAAATTCGTTATCTATTCTAATCACATGAAAGCAATACTATTATACTTGTTATAGAAAGGAAGTAACATAATTTCCGTACTTCCTACAACTACTCCAAGGACATTGTTAATAAACCTTGATGATTCTTATGAAACAAATAAGCGAATATTAGATTCAATGTTCATAAAAACAAGTCGATTTTTGATTTAATTTTCTAGATAATTCATACTAATTTTTGACATGCCATTCTTATAGAAAATTTTCTATTCTAAGCATAAATACACGTTTTAGACAATTATAATCTGTCGTTGAAGTTTCATTTACTTCAAGTAACAATATAATCATAACTAATTTCTTATGAATAAGAATTCAATACTAATGAAGAGAATCATTTATTCTGAAATCCTATAGATTTTCTCGAATAAAAGAACAATCAAGTATCATCATCTCATCTAAGATACATTAATCTTAATAGACATAAAGTATACTTGAATAAATAAGATAAGAATCGATTAGCGAAAGAAAAAGATTTAGTCTTTATGTAACTATTTTGAAATTTATAATAATACTAATATATTTAACATTTTCAAATAAGAACACCCGAAGCTATCTATTTAATAGTAATGAAGTTTTCATTGTCAACAAAACTCATTTTAACGCGTACATGTACGTGTTAGTCATTGTATTTCTCGTTCTTTACTTTCAAAAAAAAAATGGAAAAAAGACATATACTATGTTACATATTATGCAAAAAAGCAGTTAGTAGTAATATAAATTTCATAATCATCTTTTTTTTCTGTTCTCTCTTTCTGTTTCTTAATAATGTTGTTAGCAGCACTTTATTAGAAATATAATTCTCTTAGTTTCTTCTGCTTCTTTTCTTCTTCTTTTTTTCCTTCTTCTGTTTTACTTACATTCAACTTGTTCATTCTTTTTATAATTAGTCGTAAAATAAAATTAGAACAAAGAAAAAAAGGTGTTCTTTTTGTTTATTATTATGGATCTATACACTTATTATTTGTATAATAATGAAATAAAATTTGAGTATAATTTAAACAATATCCGTCTAGAATTAAAAGTAAGTTAATCGATTCATTTCTAAGGTAATCAATCAAAATAAAATCTCTAGACAATAAAAAATTAGTTCGATGTGTAGGAAGAAACATTCCACCAACATTTAGCGAATAATACAAGGATACTTACTATCTATGTTTTTATATGTTTGATTACTCTTGAGATTTGGCAAATAATTTTTCCATACCGAAATAGAATATATCTCTCGATATTTACTATACAAGACCTATAAATGTGTCATATTATCTTTAAATGACAAGATAAAACACAGAAGGTGTCATACAGTATATTTCTTTTGATAATAACCGCTAGTAATCAACAAAAATCAGTCGACTCTGCTGTTGTTTTTTACGCCATTATTGTAGTGCCGGGTTTTTTTTTGATCGTTGTCTTGTACTTAGGCCTACAGCAACAAGAACAACAACAAAAATAATATTAATAATAATAATAATAATAATAATAATGATGCCGATAATATTAGAATAATGATGATGAAACAAAAAGAAAGAAAAGTCTTTTTTTCTCTTTCTTTTTTCCCGTTCTTATTTTCCGCACCAAAAAAAATTCCGATTAATAAAACGTATACAAACAAGAACGCCTTACTTAGACTATAGTGTTTGATCGCAAACCGAGTGATAACTAAAAATTATGGTAAATTGGAAGTGGCATGAGTGTTTGCATGTAAGCGATATAGAGAGAAGGTCGTTGTTTTATTCCGTCATGCTGTTCGATAAGTAGAAACATGCGACTCTGATAAATTCTTTTTTATTTTTTATCAAAGGCTCGATTAAATGATCGTGATGAAATTCGACGCAAATTAGCAGCGGGAAATGAATCTGAAGGTGAAAATGAAGATTATTATACATCAGATTATATAAAAAAAACAATGATCACAACATCACATCGACGTCGACAAGGTAAAAAAAAATGAAATTAGAGTAAAGTTAATAATATATCTATCGACACCTTTAATACATCGGTCGTAATGAAGACGATGTCATCAATCATGATTAGTCTTTACATAGAAAGTGAATGACACTTAGAAAGGCGGGAGATAGATAGACATGTGGTATAGGGAAAAAAAAAGAAAGGAACATTTGTCTTAGGATATTTCCTACTGTTTTGTTCGTTTGTAAATAGACAGGAAAATAGGAATCCTTTTTTATCCATCTTATTAATTGCGATTTCCGATGGCAAATAGTACAAGTGAGAATACTTATGATTTTACAGGCTCAAATTTACAAATATGTTTTGTTAACGAACATCATCAAGCAAATGAATCGTCTGATAATGATGTGGTAAGAAAGTTTAGTTTTTTCGTTATTTTAAATGATATTTTTTGTTTTCAAGGTTTCAACAAATTCAAAAACAAGATTGAAAAATTCAAAAACAGATGAAATTATTTCATCGGCAACAGCAAATAATGATGAAGATATTCTTACTAAACAACAAAGATTAAAAGTAAAATAAAATAAACATTTTTTCTTATTTGATTTTCTTTTGTTTTTAAAGGAAGAAGCTAAAGTCGCTCTTGTACTTGGTGCAAAAATGGCTCGAATGCAAGTACAAATCGAACGACGAGTTTTAAAAAAGAAAAAATCTCCACTTTATGATATTGTATGTTAAATAATTCTTTTCGTCATATGAAATTTCTTCTTGTATTTATTAAAGATTGGTATTAATACTAATGGTGATAAACCATTATCACTTCGAATACTTGAAGATATGAATATTGGACAATTACAGATTATTGTGAATGATTTACATTGTCAAATCGAAAGTATGTTTTCCGTTTTTTTCCCAATAAAAGGAAACTTATTATTCGATTTAAGGTTACAATGAAGAATTAGTTAAACTTCTAATGGATAGAGATTCTTTAAGTATGGAACAAGATTCAATACTTGTTGATATTGAAGATTTGACAAAGTAAAAATTTTAATAAATTTTGATAATATATTAAATAATGAAATTTTAGACGTTTACAAGAACGTGCTGCTAATTTATCATCAGAAGCAAAACGAACATCAACAAATGGAACAACACAACGTGTTGTTATTGTTAAATCACCAACAACACAACAACAAGATGTACAAAAAAAATCTCTTCTTCATAATCTTTTACGCAAAGCTACTTTTATTTAAATCAATATTAAACTTTCTTCCGGTTTTTTTTCTTCTGATTAATTTAATGATTTTACATATATGTATATGCGTGTTTTGGATGTGTATTATTACGTTTTTCTGTGAATCAATAGGGCTAGGCTGAGTTTTTTTTCTTTTTTCGACTTTTTTGATTATTAAAATAAATGTTTTGCAGTTTTATGAACTAAAAAATAAACTCAACTACAAATATGATTTATATCAGTTTTGTATTATAAACTAATCAATACAAGTGTTTAGAGATAGAATATGAGAGTTGTAAATAGTAGTAATAGCGTGCCTGATTACTAGTGAAACTTTTCTCAAGTGTATTATTAAGTTGTCGTTAAGTTTATTTATCAAACGTAGAATTGGGTAATGAAAAAGCTTACAGAAATGGCAACTGACATAGATATAAAGACTAGGCGTAATAATAAACTAAGATTTTTTCTACACTTTTAGCATTCACCAAGTCACTTTGTTACGAAAGAACGAGTTGAAGAAGTTCAAGTAAGATTTTAGCTATTAAGTTAACTTAATACTTTGTTTTCATTTATTTATTTTTAAAAATTTTATGTTGATCATCCAAATCCGTCATTAGATAGGCCAATTAAAAAAGTTCTTGAACGACACGAAGGTAATATTAATGACTTTCCTCGTGTTTCGGAAACCACTGATATCTCTTTTTCTTTTATTGTTATTTGTTATATGTGCTTTATTCATTCAAAATGATTTCGGTATATTTCTGCATAAGATATCGTTAACATAGAAATATAGTTTAAAGAATTTTTAAATAAATATAGTTATCTCTCAAAAAACTAATCAAAAATAATGATATACCATTCTGGTATTCCACAAAAAAGAACGAGATGAAAAAAGGTCATTAACACTTATTTATCAACAGGGACTTGTTGATACTCTCATCATACTCACAACATCTTAATTGGTTGAAATTTTCATGATTGTATTTTTTCAATGATCAGAAATTGTATAAGTTTGAACTAATAATTATTCTTAAATCAGTTAAAATAAAGTTTTTTCTTATTTATTTGTTTTATTTTCGATTGAAATTTTTATATTATACCCTCTCAACCGTGTCTGATTACCATTGCGTTCTTCCTAAACCTTTTTAATCATGTTAGTGTATATAGATGTCATCAATATTCGATTCTCTTTGTAATCATTCACGGCATCATAAGAATAGATATAAACTTTGATTTTTATCATTATTGAATCGGAAGTAGAACGATGTATTTATGAATAGATGAATACGTGATTTTTGGACACAACAGTACTCAATTCATATTGAGAAATAATCTTATATCATTGGACGAGGATTATTGTCGAATTAAGATTCGTCTTCATCACGAAAACTCTGTTCACAAATATTCGTATACAAATAATCAAATACTTTTCACTTTATTAAATTATAATGCTTTATAAATCCTAGAAAACGATAAGGTTTTAAAATAAGTTTAATACTTAACATACGTTATATCATCATTTGGATATTCTTATATCTATAATTTACCAGTTTCTTTTTTTATTGTAACGCTAGATGATAAATATAGACATTTAGATATATTAATGAGTACGAATCAAGCAAATAATGACTAAGCAAAATGCGTCACTTCTCTACTCAAAAATATTGAAAAGAAATATATGATTTTACTCCTCTATGATCACGTTGTTTAGACACGTTGATGAAAACAAAGGATAATTATATCTATTGCTTAACGAGTAAAACAGTAAAAACTATATGATGACGTTATACGAGCATATCTATGTAAACAAAAGGTGATTACCGTTCGCGCTGTACGATCGAAAAAATACACTCGGTGATGATTTTATGAGCATGCGCATATATGAAAACAAAAGATAATTACATATCTCTTTCTAAATATAAACTTAGATCTGTTTTTCTTACTGTTAATAATAAACCAGTTTGCGTCATATTATCTACGCATCTAAAAAAAACTATTTTTACTTAATAATTCCGTGTCTAAAGCTCGACGTATATATAGCCGAAGCAAAACTGCACAATTATACCATTCATTATTACAGCTTACATTTACAACTCCATATCGTTTAATATATTCTATAATGAACAAGCTTATGGTTTATCTGGTATTTACCATCTTCATTATAAGTTCCTTTATGGTAATGGCAATTATAGATCAAAATTTTTATTACTTTTGAAATTCAAATATGTGTCAATGCACTAACATTCTGAAGCGCAATATTAGAATTGAATCCTGAAGCTGGGAGTTGTTATTAATGATGTCATCTTCGTTTATGTCAAAACTGACGCAAGCTGAATATGCGTAAGCAGTATAGTTGAACAGTTTCCTCGATATTAGCGTTATTATTAATGATGTTATCATCATTTATGTTAGACCTAATCCAAGCTGAATATGCGCAAACAGTGTAGTTGAACAGAATCGTGCTCGTCTTAGCTATTCATCCATTGTGTTTAGGTTTTTTATGTTAGACCTAATCCAAGTTGAATATTCGTAAGCAGTGTAGTTGAACAGAATCGTGCTACTGGTAGCTATTCATCCATTGTGTCTGGGTCTTTTATATTGTCTGATTAAAGTTTTGTTTTAAATTCATAACTATATCTGAAACAATGTTTTGTTGCATAAAGTCAGTTATCATAGAGTTTTATGGATCGCACGATGCAATTAAATTTTCTATCACAATAAGTAGGATATTTGAATAGAATCATGCTAGATTTTTTTCATTTTCCACATGTTATTGTTATATTAATAAATTCATATACTAACTTACATTTGAGGATAATTTGTGAATTCAACATTAATATGAAATGTTCATCTATTATATTTGGCAGATACATTAGATAGATTATATCTATATGGTGTAAGAAATACAATAACTGAATAGAATCGTGATTCCAATCAATCGCTTCTTGCGCATTTCCATTTATCTAATTAATTTAAAGTCTTTGCTGTGATTTTTATAATATATTTGAATAGAGTATTGGTATAAAATATTCATTGACTGAACGTCTGATAATCTTTTTGAGAATTCAATATTCTCGTTTTTGAGTGAGAAAAATATGTGGATACAATCGTGAATTGAATCATTCTCTTCGCATGTACGTATCAATCATAGGTTTATCTGTGTATTTTCTTAACAGCCACATAGTATTCGAAGACATTTTGTTTAGAGCCATTCACTTGGTACGTGGCAAATGTTAAGTTGGTATCAAATCACTGGTTCTAACTGATTGTCACAAAATATTCGAAGAAAGATTTTGTTAAAATTATTTGTTTGCTCTGTACTGATCAAGATTGTAATCAAATTTAGTCTTTACCTCGAATCTAAAACTATACTTGAATAATTTCATGATATAAATGATTCTCAAATTGTATTTTTGTCGGTGTTCTGATTAAATCCACATTGTTGTATCTAGCTCATCAAAATATATTACTAGTTTCTTGGTATGATCTATTCATCTACCATATGTGTGCTAACGTTCTGCCCTATTCCATACCATCGTTTCTAGTTCATCAAAATATATGATTAGTTTCTTATTATGATCTATTTATCTACCATATGTACAGTAATGCTCTTACTTATTTCATATCATTCTTTCTAGCTCATCAAAATATATGACTAATTTCTTTTTATGATCTATTCATCTACCATATATGTACCAATATTCTACCCTATTCCTTATCATTATTTCTAGCTCATCAAAATATATGACTAGTTTCGTGGTATGATCT